GTTGAGGGTTGACTCTCTTCATCCAGATCCGAAGGTTTTTGTGGGTCTGAGATCACTTCCAAACATTCATTCGTTTCTGACTGAACCCGTTTAAATGTGGGCAACAAAAACAGATCCATTTTACCACTAGCTAGCTCTACCTTTCACTCGTTCACAGGTGGAAAATGATGTCAAAGGTTAACATCAATTTCCAGTTTTTGTCACACTCAGGAGGTAGGACTCAAAACACAGAAGCCCAGAATGACTTGAGGCAAGAGCAGTTGAAAAAGGTAAAATCCTTTTATTAAGGTGGCAACACAAAATCACTTCGAGATGCAGGAGTCAAATCCAGAAAACTGAAAGCCAAAAAACAAAAGCTCAATAATGAGCACAAAGACTAGAACCTGACGAGGGAACAAAACAACGCTGACTCACAACAATGGACTGACAAACACTGAGAGACAAGACAGGGCTTTTAAACACAGAGGGAGGTGATCAGAGGAACAGGTGACAGGTGTGAGGAGATCTGGAGAAGGCAGTAAACTAAATGTGGAAAGAACTAAGCAGGAGAACCTGGAGGAGAACAGGAGGAGGCTGGGGACACAGAACATGGCAGTTTTGGTTTGTTTTTAGTATCCACATGATAATTTACTGATTATTTTTGTTTTGTATGTTAAATATTATCACATCCACACGTTAGATTAAAATTAAATTGTAAAACAAAAAAAATCTAATATTTACTTGGGGGTGTTATGGGGGTGCAGTGACTAATCCAGGGGTAGCTATTGCCCCCCCCCCCCCCCCCCCCCCCCGGCGCCGCTACTGCTGTGACTTTGAACCTGACACCTCCTACTTGAGCTCCTGGTTCTTGAACCTAAGGAGGTCACAGCCATCAAGTTCTGATGTTAAAGGAGCGGAGATGGATTCTATTCTGGTGGCTTCAAACATTTTCCACCATTGGTCCACTCTCTCCATCACTTCCATCCCCAGCGTTATTTTTCTCTTCTACAGGAAGCAGTATGACTAACTGCCTGACATCTCTGTGAAGCATCGTGGCAGGGATTTAGGCTGGGCATCCTGTCCTAGCGTTTGCAAGCCTTTTTACAGGTCTCACATAGGGTACTGGGTAACTTGGGAATGTTTGGACATTTACATCCCTCACAACTCACTTCTTGTTGGCCTTAACACTGATAACCCTGAAAGCCTATATTGGCTCCTCAAGGCATTCTGGTCTGCCACCCAAACGATGTCACCAACTACAACATTGCGTTCCTTTGTGTGCCTTTTACTCCTGATGAATAGGTTGGGTTCAGCCAATTGGCTCCACTTCTTCCAGAACTGTTAACTTCGGCCCTGATCACTCGTAGCCTCTTGTAAGAGTAACCGTCAAAACTGAAGCTTCCTGAGTCTCCATTTGGTCCAGCTCTACCAAGGAGCTGTGAGTTAGGGCTGAGGTATTCTATACAGTCCTCTCAACTCTGACATCTATTGTGCCTTTCATTAGCCAGGTTTGCTGCCATGTAGAAACATTTTTGAAACCCTCCCCATGTGAAGACTTCATCCCCTCCCAGGCTTTTTTCACAATCTGAACAGCTGCTTCTGCGGCTCCATTCCAGTAGGGTGAGTCTGCTGGGTGAACCTTCCAGCTCCAGTTTGTTCCCTGTTTGGTGGCCTCATTCTTTGGTTCTCTTTCATCCAAACAATCCAAAAAAAGGTAAAGTTCGTTCAGGGCAGGCTTGGCTCCCACAAATTTTCTTCCCCGTTCAAGATCTGGATTCTTCCTCCACATACCAACAATCCTGAATCTTTTTCTTTGTATACATAGTCTGTTGAGGGTAGTGTCACAAAAGGCAACATCCTCCTGGGCTGCAAGCAAAAGTCCCAAAAAGTATCTTCACATTCCTCAGCAGACAGTGCAGCCTTCTTGGCTTTGGCCTTGATCTCCTCCATTAGTAGAATAACCTCCCACTTTAACTTACTGGCTGCTGTACCCTTCTTCCATTTTATAACATCTACTGCTAAATTTCCTTTCATCCACAAGCAATTTAACTGCACAGCCAGCTGGAGGTCTGTGGATTGGATTTCCTCCAGACTGCCAGAAGTTATTGGATGAGTCACTGGTTTGTTGCAGTCAGGGGTTTGTTGTAGGATGCTCTGATTTCTCTTTGCTTGAGCGCTAGTCTGTACTGCTGAGAAAGCCTACCTCTGTAGTTTATCCATGCCCTCTTTGGCATTAGTTGCAACCTCTTTAGCTGACTTCGTCAGCCATTCTTGTAAAGGTTGTCTCAAATAGGGTCCATTCTGCCATTCTGAATCCTCATTAAGATCCTCAGGAGTAGCCCCTCTTGTCATAATGTCAGCAATATTCACCTTGATAGGAATCCACCACCATCTTCTGAGTCGAACTGCAAAAACTACACCACACATCTCTGCCTTAACTGGTTCCCGTTGTTGGTCCAGTGGCGTGAGTTTTGCCATAGATTCGACCAACCTGATTTGAATGCCTTGCTCGGTCTCCCATCCGAGGTACACCACAGCTCCGCCGTTCTGGTAACTCCCATCAGAGGATGTTACTCCCCAAGTTTTTCCAATCCAGCCAGGTGGTGCGAGGCTTCTATGGAAGGTGATCTGGCCAATTTGCACATACTCTTCAGATAGTCTGATGGCGTCCCTCCTGAGGTCTTTAGACAGTGGCTTGTCCCAAGTATCAGTAGCTCTTGTTAGACTCCCACTTTCAGCTTCCTGGAAAGCATTCCTGACAAATATGGCTCCTTTCTGCATGGTAGGAGAGACTAGGCCGATTCGGTCGTAGAGGCCCGCTATTTGACTTAATAGCTCACTTCTGCTTAGTGGATTGGGGGTCTGTTCTTTCACCTCGTCTTCAATTAGGTCTTGGCCTGTCCTTATCTTGTTTCTCCTTCTTGAGAAGTTGATCGAGAATAATATATACAACTTGTCCTCTTGGACCAGGTATCGAATTGCCAGGGCTCTTTTTTTGCCTTCCCTCATCTGATTGGGAAGTACCACAACTCTATCCTTCCTTGTTGGGTTTTCTGATCCAGGTTTACTTGGTTCCTGGTTAATCCGCCTCACAGTTTGCTCTGACCAAATCCATGACTTGAGGAAGAATCCCCCAGCTCTCAGAATTTCCTACAAGTGGGTGACAGTAAAGGATTATTATCTTTTCCTCCATTTTTCCGGTTTAGGCGATGTGTCATGCTTGTGGTACAAACAGTGGTGGCTGGCCAGTAGAGGGCGATAGGGCGCCACCCTCCCAGTTTCCCCTGTGTTTTTAATTTTTATTTTAAAAAACAAATAAATAAAATTAACAATAATCACATATTCTAAGTTAATTGTGTGTTTTGTAACAAAAATAAATCATATATGTATATATATCTATATTGGTCTCTGCCGGTCTCTGCCGATCTCTGCCGGTCTCTGCCGAGCGGTGGAGGCTGTGTGCTGTTTTTCAATCGCCCAAACAGGACGGGACCAGTTGTCCAATTGTTGACATGAAAATCAAAGGGTAAGAATGGCAATGTATCCAATCAGCGTTGACGTTGTTTCAGAGTGTTACAGAAGCATGATGGGCGATAGAGCTACCGCCAAGGCTTTCGTTGATGTTCGGTAGAACTCGGAGAGTCTCGACTCCAGCACGTTTTGACGGTCGTGACGCAGACGTAGACAGTGCGCCTACAATATGGATACCGGATCTCAGCAGCCACTGAATTCAGTTCGGTCTCCTCCAGTATCCGTTCGAGAGGAGAACTATGGTGGAAAAACTTAATGTCAAAGAGCTTGGACCAGATCAGCCCGACGTAAAGATAAGCCAGCAGGAGGAGGAGAGAGGTAAACTGTACACACTAGGCTTCTCCCGAAATTGGTACACCAGGAAGCAGTGGCTAGCTGGATGCAATCACGCTAATGCGTCATTTTGCTTTCTGTGTTTGTTATTCAAAACGGCTGGGATCCACAGAAGGTGGATGTGGAACTTGTGTCTCATTGGGGACTCCATTCATTCTCTGACTGAGGAATGCAGCGCATCAGTGCAGCAGCCAACAAAGAAACGGAGGACGTTTGGACAGGGAGAACAGCAGCTGGGTGCAGAGGTAAGCTGTACATTACATTTCTGTAAACAAGACAATCAGAATCAGAAATCCTTGGTTGTCCCACAAATCGGGACATTTGTTTAATAACATGTTTAATGTGCAATAACTGTAAAAACTAATTTCAACACACATACCTATTATACATAATTAATCATGTAAATGTGTATTTCAAGTAAATTTGTACATACATCAATCTGATTCCATTTTACTTGTTACACTTCTGCTGCAGCAAACAAATTTCCCAGCTTTTGGGACAATAAAACATTTCTGATTTGTCCCAAAAAGTGGGAAATATGACATTTGTAAGAGGATACTGATGACATTATTTCCTATGAAAGTGTTTCCACTTTCCATAAGTCCTAACAGTGTAAATTTCTGGCATTTTGTCTAAGTAGTGTTTACTACCATTACTGTAACAGTGACCTGTTCATAATTTTTTGTGTTCACTCAAATGTTGAAATTAAACAAAATGTTTTTGTTTCCGCAAGGCAGCGTGCCAATAGTCAGACACACCTGGATTAATCAGTTTGTCCAATAATGTAAGACAGGAAATAAAAGAGCTGTGCTTAATTCAGGAAATAGTGAAGTTGTGCACAAAGCTCAGAAAGCACAAGTTTGTTTTAAAAAAAATAGCACAGCCCCACCAAAAATATTTTTCACCAGCCGCCACTGGGTACAAAGACATGAACCGTGATCTGAGTCATATATAAAAACTTTTCCCGCAAGGACACCTATGTAAACAAACTGTCCTGCCGGCATTTTTTTCAAAAACTATTTACATCTTTGAAGTATGGCTGCTTTCCTTGATAACTGTGCTTTCATGAGCTTTGATCACTACATTTGCTTTATTGTTACGTCCCTGACATGTGTTGGTGAAATGTGAAGGATTGGGATAACATAAGAACTGGACAGTGGATATTAAAAGGGTTTTATTATTATAAAAAGGTTCTAAAAACGAGCAAAACAGACGATGAGCATTATAAAGATAATGCAACACACCCAAACTCTCGAAAAGGTTAACATTAAAAGACGAATGATTAACTATTAAAACACCTGGTTAAAACGAAGGTGTTTAAAACCGAAGTCAATCATATTCCACAAACAAAATTAACCTTTAAAACAAACGAACACACGAACACAAGATCCCACAGGACCACTCAAGAGTTTAAACTTTAAAAGTTAAACTCATCAAAACGAAGTAGCGAATGATCAAACGAAGGGGTTAAAACAAAACGAATCATGGAGAACAGCAGAACCCCTGCACTGCTGTCTCTCAGACTGCTGAAGGCACAGCTCTTTTATCCCAGGTGTTGGACATCAGACGGATTCAGCTCGGCTGTGCTCCTCAGCAGCCTGGAAGGGAGGAGGAGGAGGGGCGGTATCCGGCCGATCACCATGAGCTGGGTGATCCTGGCTGCTTTTTCCCTCTTCAGGCTGGCAGCCGTGACATTTATACTTGTTGACATTACAATATGTAACAGTAAACATGTCGGTAACTTTTAAAATTCTGCAGCACATTCAGTATTTATTTAGCTGCTGCAAAGCTTTGATGTAGATGAAAGCGAGCATCTAAATCCCACCACCACCCCAACCCTTACCACTCCTAAAAGCATGGACAAATCTCTCCTCTGATTATTTGTCAAATGCTTTGAGCAGTAAGTGCATTTATATGTGAAGAACCACACACTAAAAGAACATATAAATTGTTTTTTTTTTTAGGATTTTGCATTATTAGACTTTGGGAGAGAACAGATTTTTTTTTTTATGGAAACCGAAAATAGTCACAAAAAGTATGAAAACACACAGGCACACTAGTGTATGATTTCCCAAAAAACACTCGAAACATATTTGTTCAAAATATATATTGCATTGTGAATCCAGGGGCCACAAGATCTTCAAAATGTAAATCCCTTAAGTGCAAGCTAGCACATCGGTTTAAACAATCAAGGAAATAAACAAGAAATCTCAAACTTTTTCTGAGTTCTAATTCATCAAAACTATCCACACTCATAAGGAATCGTTCGATGGCTGGATCTCGAGGATCAGGGGACTGACAGAAATTATTCTGTAGCCCCTGAACATCTGTCAGCCTCAGCCTCTTATCCTGAATGCAATCAGGCTTCAGTGGCTACAGCTGTGGCGTCGGAGACGCGGGAAGCACAGGAGGACTGCACGCTGTCCAGGGCGCTGATCGGCCATAGAGCTGAATCGTGCTGTCTGCAGGACAGGTCCCGAAGGCCATGGGCTGCTGCAGTGTTTGTTTGTTATGTCACTTGCTGATTTTTTTCTCTCTAGACAACACTAGATCTTGTAGAGGACAGATCTTCTCTGCACTCTCAAGAATCCTCTGCCATTTTTTTCTGCTTTCATTTTGTGTTGGAGCCAACCCTGAACTTGATGAACTGGCAGATTCCTGAGTCAGGTTTAACATCTTGAGCTGCTGCAGGATCCACTACTGAACCTTTTAATGATTCCATCTATGAAGGTAGACCATTTCAGGTCCCAAGCGATGGGATTACCTGGATGTGTCTACCATGGACACAGTACCATAGTGTTTAGTGATGAGGGACAGAGATGGAGTGTTGATTTAAGATGACTGTGACTGACACAACCAGCTGTTCCACCTTCTCTCATCGAACAAACATGGCTACCAACCATCTCAGTGCATACATGATGTCTGCATCAATCCTGTTGGACTGACTCTCTTCTTCCTCTAACTGGAGGCTCTACTGGAAGCAATGAATGAGATATTGTTTTCAGCTTTCACACAGAAGCACACCTCAAAAGGATCACAACCTTCATTTGAACAAGACAGAAACTAGATATTACTTATCGTAATTCTAGACCAAATGGTCACGTCTTTATTCAGCTGTAGACTAGAACATCTACCACTGATCCCACCTAAAGCTGTGCTCTCTATAAAGTACCGTGAATGGGATATCAGTGAATACATGTCTCTACATAACTTATAAAAATAAACACACAAAGTATCTCTACTGAGTAAATTGGTGTGTAACATGGACATTTTACCAAAATCCCGCCGAGTACATTAGACAGTCCGTCACGGCTGTTTGTGTGGGGTTGACTTCCTGTGTTAGTCTTCCTCCCTTTCTGGTCCTTCAGAGATCCAAGCCTTCCTCTTCAGCTGCAGCCTATCACACATGCAGCTCCGTACCTCCTCTTTACTTCTGGCCCTGACATTTGAGAAGGAGAAGGTTTCTCCTCCATAAAGGGGAACTACTGAGGACTGGGAGGTCCTCTGAGCAGGATCAGCCGAATGAGAGCTCCCAGAATGCCATGCTCTTCTTCTGGGAAATCGACCAGTGGAATATGAATTGAAACAAGAGATATTTTGTGCAGGCATGGGTGTAGGTACACCAGGTGAAGTCTTGCTTGACTTGAAAAGCTGAGACTGTAATGGTGCTGACTCTGATTCTGAGTAGGAGCTTCGCACACGGGGGAAACAAAAGGGTGGAGTGAAAGAGCTCTGGGTGGTGAAGGGGGAGAAGGTCGACAGAGATGGAAGTGAAATTCGTGACTTTGGGTAAAGAAGACCAATCTTCCTGTGTCTAACTTCCGCTGGTACATTTTCTTCTTTTGGTTCCTTTGGCTTTGCTGACTCCACGTCTATCCTTTCATTTTCCATTCTGTTGCTTGTCCTTCTCTTCCTCTGTCTTTCCTGAGCTTCATGTAACATAACTTCCAGGTTGTAAATGTCTTCCGTTAGCTGACTGACTCGATCAAAACTGGACAGCAGCATACTGACGATAGGCTCCAGACCATCCAGGCAGGGCTGAACTTCTTGATTCGGTTTGGAAACCAGGAAGTCCTCAGACGTGACTGAGAGGACTGACGATGGTGGATGCAGGGATGGGAATGAGGATGACAGAGAAGGAGAACAAGATGAAGGAATGGAGGAAGACAGGGTGGAGAAAGCAGACCCCTGTGAGGACCTGGAAGGCGGGGTGTCCATGTCTTCAAACTTCACACTGTGTCTGAACTGGAAGAAGAATGGAATGTGCAGAATCAGAAGTTTGAACAATGAAGACATTTCTTTACCTGTAATTAAATACTCACAGCTCTTTTTACCTGTTTAGCTTTGGTGAGTCCCATCCACAGCTTCAGTCTCTTGATGAAGAACTCCACCATTTCATAGTCTTGAGGTTCAATGGTTGAATGAAGCAGCTCCATCTGCTTTTCCCTTGAGGACACGGCAACAAACACACAATCTCAAAGTCTGGAATGATGCAGAATTACATGTTTAATTTAGTGTTTTATCCTTTGGAAGATGATTGAAATGAGAGCTATAATGGCTTAAAGGAACCAAGACGGTTTCAAAATCAACAGTCCAGAGGCTACTTTTATCAAATGTTATGTAGAATCCTCAATAAAACTCTACTTGAGATCAGCAAGCGGTGAGCCGTGAGGCAGAAGTGGTCTGATGAAAGCACAGAGGGACATGGCAGGAGTCATTTTAGTGACTCCTTCTAAGCGATTGTTGAGATCTTCCATATCTAAGAGTAACATTAAATAAAAATATTTAATTTAACCCAAAGGGGTTTTAGGCATGAAATGACATCAGCCCTCTTTTCCGTTAATTCACACTGGAAATGAGGCGGTTGCAGCGAAACGAGTGGTCAGTAGCAGGGCTGTGCAGAGACCGTTGGAAGGGCGGGTGCCCAAAGTAAAAAAGAAAGGGCACATATAGAGGGAGATTTTGAAACAGATTCACGAGCCAGCAAATAATGAGAGATCCGTGGGTTCAAACAAAATAATGTAAACTAGGCAAAATATGTCATTTTTGTTAATAATTGAAGTTAATGTTATTTCATTAAGACCTGTTTTAGTTTTTAAAGCTGAATAATTTCTAGGGATGTTAGAACACCCCCTCCTCCCCCATCCACCCCTGATCTGAGTCCAAGTTGATTTTGATTATCTTCCAATACTTCCATACCACTTTATTTGTCAAGCGCATTTCAATACAGCATGAGAGAGAGAAGTATAGAACACACATCCTATCATAAACAGAGCAAAGGCTAAAACAAGTAAAACCACCAAAACGGCTTTTCTAAAAAATATATAAAACCTAATAAAAATATGAATAAAACAACTCAAAGTAAACATTTAATAAGAAACAAGTCAAGATGAAAAAGTCAGGTCATAAAAGTATGTTTTTATTCATGACTTGAAGGCCATAATAGATGTTGACTGGCGGATCATAAGAGGTAAGGCATTCCAGGTGCCACACGTACAAAAACACACTCCCCCCTCATTTTATAATTCATAGCCTGTTGGTACGTACAACTGTAGCAAGTCAGCCAGGTATGTTGGTGCCATGCCATTTAGTGCTTTAAAAACAAACAGCAGGATCTTGAACCGAACCCTAAACAGGACAGGGAGCCAGTGCAGTTGTGTAGAATTGGCGTCACATTCCTCGGCCGGTTTGTGTTGGCCAAAAACCTTGCCGCCACATTTTGGATCAACTGCAGTCTATTCAAGGCCGAGACAGACACACATTCAAGACAACCAGAAAGGTATCCAGTTTGATAAATACTGCTATGTAGCGTTACATATTAAATGATCAATAAGATGGTATTTAACACATTTTTGAAACACTTTGGATTTAAACAAATTGTCCATTCAAAAAAAATTTATTGTAAACTTGTAGATTGAAAGAAACCATTTTATGAGACCAACTAAGAGTAATTTTATTCAGAGAGAAAAAGTCTCGTCTTCTGCATGGGACCTTGGGTTGCAGCTCAGATAAGGGAGTCAGGAGAAGGACTTTATTGTTGCTTCTGTTCTGGTAACAAGGTCACGGAGCAGAATATTTTCTGGTTTGGAGACCAGATGGTTAAGATGTGGCTCACAATACTCCAGGCAGATGAAATAGCCTGGACATTTCTGCGTGACCAACTTACAGTGGACAAATAACCAAAGCGTTGGCCTTTGGTACGCCACATAAAAAAATGGAATTATAAAATGCATGTTGTTATACATAAATTCACTTTGTTTGACCATCCTCTTTGTGCGAGGCAGAACATTTATTAAGTGTTAAAACTACAGACATAATTATTTTCTTGGGGTGGCATCAGTGTTTATTTTGAATTATTTTCAGGTAAATGGCCTGTATTTGATATAGCACCTCATAGAGTCCTGGAACCCCCCAAGGCGCTTTACAACACAATCAGTCATTCACCCATTCACACGCTGGTGGGGATGAGCTACAATGTAGCCACAGCTGCCCTGGGGCACACTGGCAGAGGCGAGTCTGCTGTACACAGGCACCACCGGTCCCTCCGGCCACCACCAGCATGCCAGGTGGGTTGAGTGTCTTGCCCAAGGGCCCAACGACAGTGACAAACTGAGGGGGGCTCGAACCTGCAACCTTCCGATTATGGGGCGAGTATTTAACTCCCCCCCCCCCCCCCCCCCCCAGCTCCACCTCTTTTCCAATTTTTGGATTGTCTGGGTGTGACAAGATGTGTGACAAAGCTAAAATGGCGGTGGTGGGAACCGCCTTTTTGCTTCAAAAATGAACATTTATAGAAATAGATGTTGCTATCTATGTCTATGGTTCACACTGAACATGCTGTCGCATGTCAGACAATTGATGCACCGATGAGTAATTTGGATTTGAGAACATAGTGGGATTTCTTAAAAGAAAAATATTTCATTTTTATGCTCATATCAGAGACAGGGGTTAGGCGGCTGACCGTTGTTTGTGCACGAGGATCTAAGTGTCTTAATCTGCCTTCAATTCACCATGTCTGCATGTTAACGGCTTCACATGAAGCTTCTCCCTCTCCTAAATGTGCTGCCGCCAGGGTCAGCATTTTGAAACCAGTTGTTACATAAATTTATGGGTAAATGAAGAATTAATTTGCAATTTAAGACAAATTAACTGGTGACACTCATGAGAATATTCACAGTCAAACATGTGTTACTATTCAGAAAAGTTTGGATCGTAAGGGAATGTTGAACCTCAACAAATATACTTAAAGTTAAATTGAAATAATACTTCCAAACGTCCTAGTTGCATACCTGTACACATGGATGAGAACTGCTCCACAGAGTCGAGCCAGGAGCCAAATGCTGCCTCCGTACACCAGTAGCCCGTAGAGGGGTCCCAGCACCGGGTGGACCCTGCAGAGTTGTCCGAGCACCCTCCGGCTACGGAGCATGGACGTCACTGAGACCCAGGTTTGTTCCACTGACAGGAAGCCTTCCACTGACTGGTGAAAAAGCTGCACCACAACACAGACTCATCAAACCTCTTCTCTCTTCTGGAATCTGTCTGTCAGCTGGAGGTTTCTTCTTGTACCATGTTTCCGAGGTGACTGCAGATCAGAAGCAGCAGCACCACCAGGACAGCCGCAGCCCACAGTTCCCTAGAGGCTCTCTGCAGAACTCTTCCCATCATCACCCACCTCCGCACAAACCGTAAGGTTCCCAGCAGCTGGAGCGCACAGCCAGAGAGATTCATTAAAGAAGCAGATCTGTAGAATTATGAACCAGAGCTATTTACCTTCAGAGCCAGAAGAGTGAGCAGGACAGCAGCGCATTGAGAAGACCTGTAAGCCAGCAGGGCAGCACTGTGGAAGTCTATGAAACTCTCCTGCATGGACTGCATCTGAATTTGTCAATAAGTCATGTTTTTTTGTTACATCACAGTAGTTAAAAGTCAGCAAAGTTTAAAATTTTGTATACCTCAGAAACACACAAAGAAGCAAGAGACAGGAACCAGAGCTGAAGGAAAGCTGTCATCAGTGACACGAAGGCCAACAGCAGCTGGAACCAGTGACGACACTGGTAGAAGTACCGAGCACGCTCCGTCAACATGGACCAGAGCTCCCCGAACACGATGAGAAGAGCTGAGGTGCAAAAACAAATCTGAAGAAAAGTCAAGGACATAAGTGATCCAGGAGGCTGTTGGAACTGCTCTCTTAATTCAGCCAGATGTGTTACCGTGAGCACCACATGAAGGCTGGGTCCAGAGACGGAGGAGGGGAGGTGGAGGGAGTGGATGGTGAGGAAGGAGGAGACGCCTTGTGTTTGGGTCAGCTCTAGTCGTATGGACACACACAGGAACAACGCAGACGCTCTGTGGTGGTGTGTGAAGTCTAAGGAGAGAGATTTAAACCTGGGCAGCACACACACACACACACACACACACACACACACGCGCACACAGAATCAGCTGACGGTAATGAAATTCCCACTCAACATGTTACATCCACCTACCGTCTCCTGCTCATGTGCAGGTCGGTCAGGAGCTGCTGTGTTGTTGAACTGTTGTTTCCTAAGAGATCAACCGCCGAGGCGCCGAGTGTGTGTGTGAACCGCACCTGTGGTAACCCTACAAGGTCCAGCGTGGGGTTTTGGTGGAGGTGCTGAATCAGGGTGTGACCGATCCACCATTCTGCATCAGACCAGCTGTATGACGAAAAGACATGAGCCTCTGATTGATTACTTTTTAGAGTCAAGCTAATTAAATGTAGCTAAGAACCATTTATACCCAAGCACCAACATCATCAGGTACAACTTTATTTAAAGTTTTGTCATTCAAGATTTGAAGTGACCTGTTTGTTAATATAATATTGGGTTTTAATGGAGTCGTTGTTACCTGTACATCCATCTGTGGGAAACCCAGTTACACCTGGCCACAGCCTCTAAACGTTTTCACCGTAGTCACAACTAAATGACTATTGATCAGTCAGTCCTAAAGGATTTTGATTTAATTTGCTGATTGTAGTTCTCAGTAAGTCACAACACCTTCTCCAGGTGCTGACAGTGTGTGACATCTCAGATATTTCATTAAACTTCATAAATAGCTGTGACTGGACCAGATGTGTAGTTGCAGTACCACCCCATGCCACTAGAGGCGGGAACGGACTGGCAGATCTGTGATGGAAGCCTCGAGTTGAGATAAAAGGTTCCATATCATGCTACTTGAAACCTTTGAGAGCAAAGGTGTGCACAATACATGTTGAAATATTACCGTTGGCACTATGTATTTTCTTCAGCCTGAATTTATACCCGGAAATAAAATGTTCTGTTTTAGTGAGGCTCCGCCCACACCTGCTTTGACAAAACGCAACTACAACAGCGTCTTAGGCAAGCCTGTTTTCTATTGGCCTTGGTAGTCCAGCAAGTTAAACACCTAGTCTAGCAGTCTAACCATAGACTACCGAGTCTGTTACAAAGCAGTAGTCGCCTAACACACATATCCTGTGCTGGCCATTACGTGCATCTTAGTGGACAGGACGCATGGTTTTCACGTGCCTGATGCAGAAGTATTTGTCATAATATCCACAGAATACCCAGGTTTCAGAGCCGAGACCAGCCTCAGGGGGAGGAGAAATGCTTGGTGACCCAAGTCGGCTGGTTTCTTCCATTTGCAGGAAAAATCTTAGCATCGACCAAATTGCAGCTGAGACAGGAAAATGTATGAATGCCCCCAAGAAAGGGTTTGGGGGTATTTCTCATGAGTAAATGACAGTATGACACGGTAAAAAGCTCAGAAAGGTGCATTTTTCTCAGTATGGAACCTTTAGAACAGAGTTCAACCAAAATGCTAGGAGTGGATCGTCTCCTTTATCGTGAAAATGTCACATTGACCGTCACACCTAAACCTTCAATCAGTGACGCCACGTGCGAACGGGCAGGGCAGGTGACTGCTTGGGGCTGAAGGCAACAAAGGGCCCCAGGGGCCAGATAAACAGTGAAATGCTGTCATTTGACATTTTTGGTGGCTGTCTCACACTCCCTGATGAGGCCCTCCTCCTCCCTCCCCACAGCTCAGCAAGAGATCTGCCGCACACGTTCTCATTTGGACTACCCCTTCCCACTCATGCAGAGAAATGACAGCTCTCTCCATAGTCTGCACTGGACAGTAGCTATTTTGCTTGGAGCCACATCACAAGCTTGCAGCGCCACTGTCTACAATTAGATATCTATTGGAGTAAACTCAATTCAAGGCCACCACTGCTTACTAACCTCATAAAACCTCTGAAATGCCTATAACTTAGCTAATTTTATAGATTCTATGTTTTATTTACGTGGTGAAGTTGCTGTGAAACACCCGATCTTTCTTTATTTAATTAGACCTGTTACTGAATTTTATCCTTTGAGAGCAAAAGTTGAGTGTTGTTCTTACTCTCTGAGCGAGGTGAGGTTAGGGGATCCTGGATGTGTTGAGTGAAGATGCTGCCTGATAGCTGAGTGCAGCAGGCTGGCCTGCCTCTGCTCTATTCTGTCCTGGTAGTTCACCATCAGCACTAGCAGCAGAAACCCCAGCTGACACACACAGTGCTGCAGAAACGATGTAGAGAAATGAGAGCAAAATAAACCGTGCGTGCTTCTGGGGACACATGTATAGTGAATTCTTACCCTCATAAGTGAATGCAGAGCTCGGATTTTGCGTGCCTCTTGTTTTGCCTGCAGCAGTCCGTAGCCACATGGTGGTCTGACATTACCGCCACATTCTGCTGATGCTCTGACCACCATGGCCTCCTGAGCCAACAGTTCTTCTACTTCTGGATCCACAGACCTCCATAGTAATGTGCAGGTCAAGGCCTGAACACAAACCTGTTCAACAAAATTTTAGATGCAAATTATTGGAATGTTCCAATAAAGGTCAAAAAGGTGACCTCACCTTTAGAGGCTCCAGCAGCAAAGCGGAGGTAAGAAAGGCAGCGAGCACCGAGACCAGCAACATGATCACCACTGCTCTGGAGAAGAGACTTCCATAGAGTCCCACCACTGCTAGGCAGGCGACTACCAGCAAAGCCATGAGGGGGTGAACCACATGCAGAACCCATGATGGGAGCAGCCATCTGGGCCGACCTCGAGCAACACCTACAAAGGGAAAACGAGACAACATTGGAGAATTAAAAGCAACTGAAAAGGTTTTAATTCATCAGCAAATTTTCCAAAGTGAATAGTTGTGCTGGTCATTGGTTAGCCATCCCTTGCCCTTTTGAGCAAACTAAGAAGCTAAGTTAAACACAACGCAATCACAAACATACAATAATAATCTTGTGAACGTGTTACGGCCACACTTGTTTGTGTTCCGTTGTCTTTTTTCTATGTGTTTTTCTTCTCCCTCCTTTGGTTTTGCTGCATTGCTGTGTAGCAGGAACTACTTGTGCCTTTCAGAATCACACCTCACGAGCTGAGAGGAGCTGTTCTTCAGCACCATGCCTTCTCTACCATGCAGTCTATGCCCATCTCCTCCCATACGCCCTGAAGCACCCCAGCTGAAAGAAATCATCTGAAGGAGGACGCACAGCAAACAAGTCCTCTGCAAGCAGCCTCCGCCTCGCTCTGCTTTGTGCCAAGCCTTACAGATGGATCCGAGGCTTAAGTGTAACACTAATCAGCTAATGAATCCAGAACACCTGCAAAGGGTTCCTGAGCCTTTAGATGGTCTCTCAGTCTAAGTCAGGGGTAGGCAACCCTGGTCTAGAGAGCTGCAGTCCTGCATGTTGCTTCTAATTGGCTGAACACCAGATCCAAGTAATCAAATGCAGGAACAGTAAAGATAGTTGGAAAACAAGCAGAATCGCAGCTCTCTAGGACCAGGGTTGCCTACCCCTGGTCTAAGTTAATGAAGAACTTTTGCACCATAGTCTACGTTTTCGAGCTTTACCTGTATGTCTACTCATGTGGAAAAACCACTGGTAAAAGGTACCTGAACCTAAAACCAAACCCTTATAACCCTTATAACGTTTCAGGGTAGAGTTAAGTCATCTGCTTGTTAAAACATATGTACATGACCCTGGATACTTGTCCCGCTGGCCAATAAACAGTCAACAAACACATGTCTAGCCTGTTACCAATGCGTGTGGTAGAAGAGGGGTGAATGGATTCCTGCAAAGGTTGTGGTAGGAAGGTGCTAGCCAATGACTCCATTGAATGCAAAGAAGAGCACTTATAGAATCCCGTGCCATACGATGAAGAATCCAACTCAGAGTCAGATTGTTCAGCCTCTCCTCCATATAGAGAAGATGAAGAGCTCCGTTCGTCTGACCAGTCGCCCTGCCTAAAACAGAGAACAAGTTCTTTAAAACCCAAAATTGTTCATAAGAGCAGATGTATAATTGTTGGAACTTTTCTTTACGAGGCTGAGAAGGAAGACGTGGTTCTTGGGGAGTCTCGACCACTGTCCGAGTTGCTGTTGATGACTTCTGACGTGCCCTCTGCTGCTACAGACATCAGTAGATCTTCCTCTACCACAAAGACATTCATGCATTTGGACATAACTTGAAAAAAGAAATCTCTTTAGGCCAAGTATGCTTTTTTTATGCACCCACAGAGCAACAACCTGGCTACAATGCCAGATTTCAGCCTGATTATTATTAAAACACTTAAGGATATAGTAAAGACCTTGAATTCTTCTACCTGCTGTCTGGACAGCCTGCCAACAAATTTATTTAAAAATGCTTTTAGCTGCCTGAAAGCTGACGTACTAGACATTGTTAACTGCTCTTTAATGTCAGGAATTTTTCCTAAATTAGTGAAAACTGCTGTTGTGGAACCCCTTCTAAAGAAGAGGAAACTAGATCCCTCAGTGTTGAACAACTACCGACCGATCTCTAATCTCCCTCTGATTGGGAAAATTATCAAAAAAGCAGTAATGATCCAAATAAACAACTCTCTGGAATCAAATAACATTATGGATGGTTTTCAGTCAGGCTTTAGACAGCACCACAGTACTGAGACTGCACTGATCAAGGTATTAAATTACAATCATCTAAACTCTGACACAGGTAAAGCATCTGTCCTGATGGTGCTTGACCTCAGAGCAGCTTTCGATACTGTGGACCATAACATCCTTCTGGACAGACTCACAAACTGGGTTGCACTATCAGGCACAGTGCTTTCCTGGTTCCAATCATATCTGAAAGACAGGGGCTATATTGTCTCTATCGGGGGTCACAAATCAAAGCGGACCACCATGACATGTGGGGTCCCCCAGGGCTCAATTCTAGGGCCGCTGTTCTTCATTCTCTACATGACCCCCCTGGATCAGGTCACACTTATTAACAACATAGCCTATCACAGCTATGCTGATGACACCCAGATCTATCACCTAGTAACTATCGTCTGCTGGACTCACTCTCAGTGACTAGAGAAAGTAAACAACTGGATGCAGTCAAACTTCCTTCAGCTAAACAAAGACAACATTGAAGTTGTCTTTGGCAACAAGAAGGATAGAATGGATGTTATTGCTCAGCTAGACTCCAGGGGAATAAAGACAAAGACCCAGGTTAGAAATCTTGGTGTTAATATTGACTCTGACTTGAACTTCTCTGGACATATTAAGGCTATAACTGAATCAGCGTTTTATCACCTTCATCAAATATCAAGACTCAGCGGTCTCATGTCCAGACCAGACTTAAAGAAAATCACTCTTGCTTTAATTTTTTGTTGGCTGGACTACTGCGATGGTCTCCTAACTGTCTTCCCAAAAAAGCTGTGAAGCAACTGCAGCTTATTCAGAATGCTGCTGTCATGGTAACCGGTGTAGCGGTAAACCCCGGTAAAAAAGTTGACAATAAAAACAACCATCTTGGTTTTAAAAAACTATATTATCTCGGTGGATTACCGTGGCTGTGGTGTAGGCGCGGTGACCCTTACCAGCCACCGTATCATCATCTGAAGTTGCCGGCGGCACATGCGCACTTTGTTGTTTACAACCAAAACTTTCTTGAAGCTAAAGCTGAAATAATGGCCAAAGGAGGAGACGGCAGCGCTCAGGACATTTATTATCCCTCAAAGAAGACAAAGTGGGAAGTACGGGCATCTTTTGGATATTTGAAGAATGCCGAGGGACAGTTGATAGAAGACGGCTGTCCTGTTTGCAGCACGTGCAGAAAAAGTGTCTGTGAAAGGCAGCAACGCTTCAAATCTCATGACACATCTGCGTGACCATCACCCACAACTCTACAGTCAACGCAAGGCAAGCTAACATTAGCGTTTTAGCTAAAATGCGTGATCCGAGGATTTGGGTTCAGGGAGAATGCAACGAGTCGCTATATAAAGCAGCCGCAACGCCGCTACCTGCATATAAACCGTGTCGCGGACACCGCCATGTTGAAATGACGCTATGCATTATGGGGCTCCCAGGGGCAGATAAGAGTTGTTCTCTCTCCGAGAATAATTATGAATTTAACAATGATTACTGCCTGATGACATTTTCCCACATCTGCAAAGCTCAATGGAAGGACACAAACCGAGGACAATATTTTCCTGATATAGGGTTTATTACTCAAGTAAGGGTAAAAAAGTATCTGATTAGAAGGCTACTTGAGTACTGAGTATCATCTGATCTAATATCTTTAAAATGATGACATCAAACAGACAAAAAATAAGAAGTTATGGGCAAATGTTGGTATTTTAAAGACTAAAGGGGAAAACTGTAAACAAATAAACAACATAATTACAAAATAACACATTTTAGGCAAAATTTAGACACAAACTGAGGACAATATTTTCCTGATATACAGGGTTTATTTAGTTGTCTGAAAATGTAACACGTTTAAAAAAATACAGTGATAATACCGAAAACCGTGATAATTTTGGCCACAATAACCGTGAGGTTACATTTTCACACCGTGACAACCCTACTGCTGCTAGAGTCTTAACAAGAACTAAGAGAAAGGAGCACATCACTCCTGTTCTTAGATTCCTAAACTGGTTACCAGTAAACTACAGAATAGATTTCAAAGTGCTCCTACTAGTTTATAAATCACTCAATGGCATGGGACCAAAATACATGTCCGATCTCGTTCCTGTATACACACCCAAAAGGGCTCTGAGATCCTTAGGAAACAATCAGCTGGTAGAACCTCGGGTCAGAACCAAACATGGTGGAGATGCTTTTAGTTACTATGCTGCTCACATGTGGAATCAGCTTCTCCATGACCTCAGATGTGCCCCAACCCTAGTGTTGTTTAAAACAAAACTAAAAACCCTGATGTACTCATCAGCCTTGAAATGAATTGTTTCTTATGCTGCATTGTCTCCACTGTAATCTGTGATGTAATTGCTCAACCTATATTCTGTCTTTTCCTTTTTGCTCTAAATAATCATTTTATCTGTAATTTTTTATTTGTGTTCTCGTGTTTGTAGTTGTGTCATTTAATGCTAATTGAAAAGCACATTTGCTGTAAACAAAGCTGCCTTGCCTTGCCTTTTTGACCTTAACATCAGAAACAGAATATGCCATTACAACTTTGGTAACACAGTTCCACAGGGACATACTCACCAGACAGTGTTAAATGTTTGGACCTGTAAACTTGAGCTGGGCTGGAATTGAAATGCAGAGACTTTGGGCTTGATTGTACAAGAGCCTTGTGGAGATGGTAACTGTCCTCAGTCAGTGATTGTGAGCATGGAGAACACACACGTTGGAGAGCATCATCATTATGTGGTGGCAAGGCCAGGTGGAGTTGGATTATGGCCTTTTTACGCTTCAGCTGGCGTGTAGCTGGTGAAGTTCTGCACATGGCTTCCTTGGTGGGACATGTGCCTGCAAGCGAACAGAGGAGGCTGTCGTGTGATTGCCATGTCAAGGCACCTAGTCGATCTGGTCTTTCTTTCAGGGGCACCAAGCCAGAGGAAGTCCAGAAGTTCATGATACTGGAGTCTAACTCTTTACTCTCCAGCAGCTGCAGACAACCAGAAGGACACTTGTTACGTGATTCCAAATAACGAGACACATTATCAAATGTTTTCTTGTTTATTTTTGCTCTTACAGATGAAGGACTTCTTGAAAGACAATCAGAATCTTGAGGAGACACAAAGGAGGTGCTGGAGATGTGTGATTGGCTGTCCCAGATGTCCATCTCCACAGATTGGCAAACCAGAGAGGGAGGGGCTGAGCTGTCTAAAGTAACCTGGGTAACAATTTTATTGTAAGACAAAGAATATCAGCTGCATCTTCATTTTACTACACATACTGAAGTCTGTGACCAACTGTGGCTCCAAAGGGAAATGTAGTTGGAGGCGTTGCTGGGTTACCTGGCTGTAAACGTTTCTGAACAAGAAACAGAGGAAACACTGAAGAGGAAAAACCAGCAAGGCAATGCTCATCCCCATGGCAACCGTCTCCCTGTTAACCAGCAGATGGGCTGATACAGGACCACTGGTACATAAGTGACACAGATCACTTTCATCATCTCTGTTCTACATCTCATCTTACATGTTAATACCTCCATTGAATGAACAATTGTGTGTTTAATTGGATTTGGTTGATGAAGTCAACTATCTCACCTGTGGCCTGCAATCCCAACCGCCCCAAACCACAGAGTACCCAGAGCAAGGTAGAGGTGAAGCACAAGGGCACTACAGGTCACCCTCTGAGCCCTGGTGAAACTGCTGTGATTGGGCCTCTCCCACAATGACAGCCACAAGTGGTGCTCTGCCATCCCAAATATCAGCTGGGAGGTCAGGACTCGTGGAAACTGGGTGAGCTCTGCTGGACCTTGTGAGACAAAAACAAGTGACAGAAGAAAACATCCCAGACCCTAGAGTTTGTGTTTTGACTGTTGTGAGCTAATGGTACTTCACATATGCTTACATGAGGCTAGGACTTCCCTCTCCACAGTTTGGTTCTTCTGGTTCTCTACAGAGAGCCAGTCCTCCAGCAGGAAGAAGTACATGTGATCTGATAAAGGGTCCCACACTACCACATGCTTAATGTACCAAGATGGGTCCAAACCTGTGTTTTCATATTTAACATTTTAAATGGTTAGTTAACATGCTCACCTTGTACACTGAGTTACAGTACAGCCCTGGAATATTCCACATGCACACATTTTCTGATGGCTCAGCAGCAGGGTGTGTGAGTCACACACAAGAGACGCTCAGTTTCTCATAAACAACTGACAGCGGCGGAGTTCGCTGCAGCTCTTTCCTCTGTTCTAAATGACTTGAATGTCTTTAAAACCACAAGTAGAAGCGCTAAAAGCATTTCTTGAATTTTTTTTTTTTAAAGATGTTAGTGCCTTTGCCAGATGCCTTTTTTTACTACAGCTAAAAAACTACAGCATCACGCGGTACTGTTGGCATTTCCGTCGTTTTTCTTACTGGTTATTTTTGAGCTGCCTAGTCCCGCCCCTCATGTGCCGCTCTGCCTGTGAGTTACCAGATTCTTTCTCTGTGCAGAATATGAGAGCATCACAGCACTGAAACGGCATTAGTGAGAGTTACAAATGATGTTCTCATGGCCTCAGATAAGACTCTTGTATCTGTTCTAGTCTTGTTAGATCTCAGTGCTGCCTTTGACACAGTAGATCACAATGTTCTTGTAGAAAGGCTTGAACATGTTGTAGGGATCAAAGGAGCAGTGCTAGGCTGGTTTAAATCCTACCCGTCTGATAGATTTCATTTTGTAATGGTACATGACAAATCTTCTTCATACTCCAGGGTTACTTGTGGAGTACCACAGGGTTCAGTGCTTGGACCAATTCTTTTTACTATATATATATGCTTCCTATTGGTAAAATCATTAGACAGCATGGGATAAACGTTCACTGTTATGCTGATGATACTCAGTTATATTTATCCATTAACCCTGATTAACCTAATCGGTTGGGTAGATTACAGGCTTGTCTTGAGGACATAAAAAATTGGATGACTCTAAACTTTCTACTTTTAAATCAAGACAAGACGGAAGTTCTCATCTTTGGACCAGAAATCCAGAAAAGGAAATTGCTTAGTCAATCACCTGACTTGAATGGCATTACATTAATCTCCGAGAACAAAGTAAGGAACCTTGGTGTTATCTTTGACCAGGACATGTCATTCAAATCCCACGTTAAACAGGTTTGTAGGATTTCCTTTTTCCACCTTCAGAATATTGCTAAGATTAGAAGCATCCTTTCCAGGAGTGATGCTGAAAAACTAGTTCATGCATTTATTACATCGACTGGATTACTGTAATTCATTACTCTCAGGAAGTCCACAAAATGTAGTTAAAATTCTTCAGCTTGTCCAAAATGCTGCAGCTAGCGTTCTAATGAGAATTACAGAGATCATATCTCTCCTGACTTAGCTTCCCTACATTGGCTACCTGTTCAATTTAGAATAGATTTTAAGATCCTTCTTCTCACATATAAACCTCTTAATAATCAAGCTCCATCATACATTAAGAATCTGATTGTTCCATATGTTCCTAACCGAGCACTTCGCTCTCAGACTGCAGGCTTACTGGTGGTTCCAAGAATATCTAAACTTAGGATGGGAGGCAGATCTTTTAGTTATCAAGCTCCTCTCTTGTGGAACCAGCTCCCAGCTTTAGTCCGTGAGGCAGACACTTTGTCTACTTTTAAGACTAGGCTTAAAACATTTTTATTTAATAGGGCCTATGGTTAAAACCTGATGTTAGCCTAGATCTGGACAAGTGGGGGAGTAGAGGGAGGTGGAGTGTACAGTCAGTAAAGACGGCTCTCCCTTGCCCTGCCTCCAACATGCCTCCATCTAAAAGGCTAGGTTATCCAGAGTTATCTCTGTAGTTATGCTGCTATAGGCTTAGACTGCTGGAGGATACACTGACCACTTTTCACACTCTACTACTTTCTTCTACAATCTGCTCTTTAACTGTATTATTTTCTGCAATTTCAGCTGTTAACTTTATTTTCTCTCTAAGTGTTTTTCTCCCCAGAAGAAGCTACAATGATGTTCTGCTGAGCTGTGGTGGCCTCATGGCCATCGTCTAGCACACTGCTGCCAACCACTTAAACATTCTCCCTCTCCTGATAATAACATTTTACTCTCTGTGACATTGAATGTGCTACTACTAGTTTACCCGTTTAATTATAGATCCACTAGGATAAATACAATAAAGTTTATCTCTCGCCAAATAGAATATTTACTAAGAAATCACAATGTAACCATAGACACACTACTTGGTATATGTGTTGTGTGTGTGGATGTGTGTATGTGGGTGGTTTGATGTTGGTGTTGGTGTATGCGTGTGTGTGTGTGTGCGTGCGTGTGTGCGTGTGCTCTGTCTTCCCAGTGAGTCGTGGTGGATGGCTGCTTATACTGAGCCAGGATTCTCTGGAGGTTTCTTCCGTGGTAAAAGGGAGTTTTCCTCTCCACTGTCGCTACATGCTTGCTTAGTATGAGGATTGCTGTAAAGACTCTGACACTAGTCAGTGACTTGATGCAACCTGCTGGGTTCCTTATATAGGAAACTTTTTAGTGATTGGCTTAATGAACTGACCTGTATTGGAATGTTTACTATGTGAAGTGCCTTGAGACTACTCTTGTTGTGATTTGGTGCTATATAAATAAACTTGAATTGAATTGAATTGAATTTAATTGAATTAAACAGAAGTGGAGTCAGGCAGGCCAGGCTTGAGTTTTCTGCCTGCTGTCTCACTGCCTGCACCCGTTCGCAGGTTCAGAGTCCGACAAAAAGCCAGAGACTGAACTGACTGTTCAAGATGGCCACTACTGCTGTGCTGTTTCTGTGTGGAAAACAGACCACCTAACACTGTTTACTGATCACTTTACGCTACTTCTGTGTCGAGTAAACATCGTGTGAGCTGTACTTTTTTCATAACAGAGATGGCAGGGAAATCCAAATGCACTGAGGTGAGCTGAGTTAACCTACGCCTGCCGAGCTGCTTTAGGCTGAGTAGTGCTGTTGGGAAACGGCTTATGACAAGTGAGTCACCAACACCAAAAATGTCTTTTTGATTGTGTTAATGGTTTCAATTCCTAAACTCGCTCATAGATTTCATTGCAAATTAGGTTTGACAAATAGCAAAAGTCACATCTTTTTAGTTGATGAAGGACATTGATCTTATTGAAGCACTGATAGTGAACCAAAAATATACTGAATAAAAAGGTCAAAATGTGGAAGTATGCATGTTTTTACATTGTCGTTACCTTATATTAAAACCTTCATGACAAAAACAGGATTTTTCTTGCATTGCTTTTTTCCCCCTAATTCTGAAATTAACTGTTTGAATAAAATAGATAGATGTTTCTTTTGGATTTCATTTTTAAATTTCTTCTCAAACCCTTTATTTTTTAAATCGTGGTTAATAAATACCTGTGTTGTCATGCCAGATGCGTATCTTCCAAATCTCTCCAAGGTTGTCGTATGTCTCCACCTGAAACTGGTCCAGGCCGCCCCGCTGAAAAGCCCCCTCCTTCTGCAGATGGTGAGAACCACTTTTGCTCACTCCGAACAGACTGATGCCAACGTGTGCTGTGGTTCCTAATGCGATGCATCACTCAGTCATTTATTTAATCAGATGCAGTCACAGCTTTTAGGAATTAACAGTCATTTATCATGTTTTGGCATATTTTAACATATTTAATTACTCCGCTGACCTGCGCCAGGCCTTAAGCCAGTCTTCACCAGCACTCTGTACTGATACAGTCCTGATCGGCCACACAGAGGGACTTGGCTGAGCCTTAAGCGGTCCAAATGGTCCATTTTGAGTGCAATGAGCCCCGCAAGCAGGTGAAGCATAACCAGGACAGCACACACAATCCCTACAACCGTGTTCTGCATGGGCCCGTCAGCCTGCAGGCAAGGATCAGACACTTGCTTTTGTCACTTTCTTTAGCACAATGGCATTTTAGAGTCACTAAGATGAAAGATTGGAGCTAAATGATGGGGAAAACTGTTGAAATGTCAATAAAAAAGTCAAAATATTATTTTCAAAATGAAGTTATAAATGGTAAAATGTCAAGCAGAAATGTGTAATTTAAGAAACTTCAAAAATAAAATTGTTAAAATTTTAGTTTACCCACTATTTCCAGAGGAAATGAGAAGTTTAAAAAAGTGTCAAAATGAAAAGAAAAAAAGTCAAAGACCTGGGGTCTCATTTCATCATCATCATCAACCTTTATTTATAAAGCACATTTAAACGGCGACAACGCCATCCAAAGTGCTGTACAAGACAATACATTGTCATTTATCAAACATTGCGTAGAATCCTTACTAAAACCGTTCTCAAGCTCAGCAAAAAAAATGTACTCACGACAAGTAGGTTTGTGATCTATCAGACATGGAGGACGCACAGCTGCACGCAATCTCCGCTTCATAAATCGGAGACTAACGAGAATGTTTCTCAGCTGCATTTTAGTCACATCCCGCCCTCACCACGCCCACTTACTGCCATAAATAGTGTGTGTGTGTGTGTGTGTGTGTGTGTGTGTGTGTGTGTGTGTGTGTGTGTGTGTGTGTGTGTGTGTGTGTGTGTGTGTGTGTGTGTGTGTGTGTGTGTGTGTGTCTGTGTGTGTGTGTGTGTGTGTGTGTGTGTGTGTGTGTGTGTGTGTGTGTGTGTGTGTGTGTGTGTGTGTGTGTGTGTGTGTGTGTGTGCGCGTGCGAGCATGGAAAGTTGCTTATGCAGTTTTCCGACCCCGTTTTGTGCATAAGCAAGTATGATAAATGAAACCCCAGGTCTTTGCTAGTAGAAGCTAATCGTTGGCATTAGCAGCTCCACAACAGGAAGAGCTCCTTTAGGTTTGTTATTGGAGGAGATAAAACATCAACTTTGCAAAGCAAAGGGAGTCAGACAGAGTTGCATTGCTGTTAGCCAATCAGAGGTGAGTAAGCCCAAAAGTGTTTTCTAGCCCTCACACTCCTACGTCTATCTTCTACTTCCAGAAAAAGGAGCGCCAGAGCATTTTCTGACAGAGAAAAACTCAAACAGACATTTATACAAGAGAAGAAGAAGAAGAAGAAGAAGAAGAAGAAGAAGAAGAAGAAGAAGAAGAAGAAGAAGAAGAAGAAGAAGAAGAAGAAGAAGAAGAAGAAGAAGAAGAAGAAGAAAATTTCAGTTCTATAGCACCTCTCAAGATAAAAGTCACGAGGCGCTTCACAAAAACAAAAAAAAAAAGTAAAAATATAAAAAAGAATTTAGAAAATGGTTAAAATATATTTAAAACGAGCAAAAATAGACATTTGTGATTAAAAAATGTTAAGAAAGAGAGAGAGTGAATAGGAAAGAGGGAAATCAGTGGATCCTGAGGAAGGTGGAATAGGTGGGGGGAGCAGAATAAAGAGAGGGTGGTGAAGAAGGTCATACAAAAGCCAGCTTGAACAAGTGAGTCTTCAGCTGCTTTTTGAAGGAGACCACTGAGTCCACTGATCTCAGGCTCAGGGGGAGAGAGGTCCAGAGTCTGGGGGCCACAGCAGCAAATGATCTGTCCTCTTTGCTCTTTAGCCTGGTGCTGCACAACCAGTAGGCTTTTACCACTGGACCTCAGGGACCTGCTGGGGGTGTAGGGACTAAGAAGATCACCAATGTAAGATGGTGCTTGTCCATGTAAGGCCCTATAGACCAGAACCAGGATCTTGAAATGAACCCTGAAGTTGACTGGCAGCCAGTGAAGCTGGAGGAGAAGCGGGGTGATGTGGGTGTATTTGGAGGACTTGGTCAGAAGCCGAGCACAGGCATTCTGAACCACCTGTAGACGGTTCAGGGAGGTTCTGCTCAGACACGTGAAAAGAGAGTTACAGTAGTCTAAGCGTGAGGAGATGAAGGTGTGGAGAACTGTCTCAAGTTCAGAGCGGGACAGAATGGGACTCAGCTTAGCAATGTTCCTGAGATGGAAGAAGGAAGAGCCAACAAGAGAACTGACATGAGAATCCAGGGTGAGAGCTGGGTCAAAGGTCACGCCAAGATTCCTGACGGAAGGTTTGGTGTGAGAAGCAAGCTGACCAAGAGAGTCTCTGACTTTGGGAACCAGCTTGTCTGGGGCACAGATGAGGATCTCAGTCTTATCTTCATTCAGCTGAAGAAAGCTCCCAGCCATCCAGGTTTTGATAGAGTCTAAGCAGGTGTGTAACAGCTGCAGCTTAGACATCTCATGGGGCTTAAAGGGGATGTACAGTTGGTTGTCATCTGCATAAAGATGGTAGGAGTTTCCTTTGAAGGAGCTCAGGATGTGCTGAAGAGGAAGCAGATAGAGGAGGAAGAGCAGAGGCCCCAGCACAGAACCTTGTGGGACACCATGGGTAAGAGAGGTGGTGGAGGACCTAAACTTGGAGACGGTCAGAGAGATAAGAGGAGAACCACCGAAGAGCAGTTCCTGATAGGCCTACCCAGTCTCTCAGCCTCTCCAGTAGCAGGTGATGGTTAACAGTGTTAAAAGGCTGCAGTCAGGTCCAGCAGGACCAGAACAGAACAGTCCCCTGCATCACTGTGAGTCAGAAGGTCATTAGAGACCCTAAGAAGAGCTGTTTCAGTAGAATGAGTGCTACAAAAACCTGACTGGAAGCTATCACAGATGTTATGTTCATCAAGAGCAGCTGTGAGTTGTTTAGCCACAACCTTTTACAAGATCTTGGAGATGAACGGAAGTTTAGAGATGGGTCTGAAGCTGCTATGGAGAGAGGGGTCGAGACTCTGTTTTTTAAGAAGCTGGTGGATTACAGTGTTCTTAAAGAGAGCAGGGACCTGACCAGAGACCAGGGACGCATTAATTATAGAGAGCACGCTGGGACCGATGGACTGAAAAGCACTTTGAGACAACAGCTAGTGAGAGAAAAAGTGAATGTAGGCCAGCTTTAAAATGCAGAATACAAGCTTCTAACAAAGCCAAAGATTCTACTTAATTCTCCACACTTCCTCCTTTTCTTCTGCTTGGTGGCACAATTGTGGTAATTATGTGTGCAGAAGGAGAAAAACAAAAGTCTTTACTAAGAAGGCAGTCCAACAGCTTGTGTTGTGACTTACTGGTGGCAGCAGAATTACAGAACCCGGATGGACAAACACACTGGCCCCAAACATGGTGAGGTGCTGTGTCAGACAGCGTGCTGCGTGCAGTGTGCTGCCCTCCAGTGGCTGAAGGCCCTCGCTGCTCCACCGCCCTTCTGTCACATTGTAGTACCGACACAGAGAGCTGAACACACATGCCGCCACCTGGACAGGCCCGGTACCGTTCAGAGATGGAGCCAGGCTGACAGAGATAGGCTTATCCGTTCCATTCAGACTAGGAACATAAATATTCATGTGACACACATTCATGGAAACGAGCTATCTGAGCAGCTAGTTGTGTGACTCACAGTGGAGACAGAAAGATGGTTTCCTCTGAGGAGGCGGTGACAGCAGAGAGCGTGAGAGCCCACTGTCTCACAAGGGAATCCTGGGATGCATTAGTCCCTGGCACCGCCATCATGACTTCCACTCTGATGTGTCCCATTCTCACTGGAGTGCCTCCTGGAAATGCAAAATGCAGCTTTAAAATGGCTTTTAGGTTTAAATTATTCTTGGAAAACTGACCAATTTATAGAGATGTTAACTACTCAATATGCACATGATGCAGCCCCGAGGGACGATAAGTACATGCTATTAGTTCAAGCAAATGTGTGATTTAATTTAGTTCCAGTTTAGTTATTGTTGTTTGTAAATCGGTAAAAAATAAAAACATAAATCAACATTTATAATTGTTTTTCGGTGTCTGTATTTTGTTCTGGAAAATGAGAAACAAGAACACAGGGATCATTCACACGCCCCTCACAGACGTGGGCAAATTTAACATCAAGAAAACATGTTTTAATGTCCGTTTCCTGATCTGCGTCCAACATTTGAAATAAAACCTTTAAGATCTGATCTAGGGTCTTTTTAAAATCCCTCTAACATAAAACCATCTCAGCAGCTTTACACTTGACAGTTTCGTCTCCTTCCAGAATGAGCCTTTGCAGGGCTCTTTAATGCTAATGAGCTGTTGCTGGCCACACCCACCCACCCTCTGATTGGCAGCTGTGAGATGTGATGAGATTATGCAGAAAGTCAACAACCAACTATGGAGAATGGGACAAAAGTAACTAGTTTTCCTCCTAGTTAGGTGAATAGAGCAAACAGAAAATAAAACTGGAGTTAAAAGTGAAGGTGAAGACCCCTGATTTATTAAACGTTTTAAAAAAGTGTCTGCTGTGTAATAATCCCACTGTACCTGGAGCCAGGCTGAAGTTGAAGGAGATGTATAAACCAGCATTTTCATCCAGATTATCTGGAACCTTGACAGTGAAATTCACTTGTCCTGCATTGGCCAGTGTTGCTGTGGGACACGTCCTGTTTCCAGCTTCCTGTACTTTCCCATTTCTGCCTCTTTCATCCTGTGTTTCAAGGTATTTGTTGGGAAGTGTGATCTGAATGGCTTGCTCAGGGGTCAGGTCTTGGATTGGTAGGGGACGACCTTGAGGGCTGTTGAGCTCCATGGCGACCAGGGTGGTGGAGATGGGAGGATTGGCCGCATCAAGAAAAGGGTCAGACTCCAGTTTCGCATCCATTCCGAGCAGCACCTGCACCACCTCTGAACTCTGCGTCTTCAGGTGAGCGCTAAGAGAGGCGGGGATTAGAAATGGGCATCTCTTAAACCCTTCAGTTGATGATGAGTGTGACTTCATCAGATTTTCGGTGAACTGGTTTGACTGGTGCAAACAAAGGAGGCCAAAAGGGTCTCCAAAGAAACCAGCTGTTCTGATGTAACCGTTGGAGAATGACAGAGGTTCCTCGTTCAGAACACGAGAATGCATCAGTGCACGCATCAAGGCTCCAGCATGAGTCAACGCTGATGTGACCACTGAAGCTGCCTTCAGAGAGCCTGAGTGGGTTTGATGAGAACTGGAAGCTCTGCTGGACTCGGACACAGCAGCCAGTGTGTTACCTGGAGAGACGGACAACAACTGGGAATTTAGAGAGCCAGCATGGTCTGACTGTCAGTAGCTGGAGAAAGTGGTCAAGCAGCACCTAGAATATCCAGGAGGTTTCTTCCCAGGTCTACAGCTGTCAAACCTACAGGACAGATCTGGTGCTCTACCACTCTAATCATCGTCTCCACTGCTGCCAAAACTGTCTCTTGGCAGCCCTCAGATACCATCTCAGCAGGAACAACCTGGAAATCAGAGAAAAGATATAATTTAAAAAATTAAAAAAATGGTCTTAAATGGCCTCCGAGAAGTTATGGTTCTGGTGAGATGCTCCTTAGGAAGCTGGGACAGGGGATTAAGCATGCTTTGCTTTCTCACAGTGGACAGTGTAAGTGCTGAGCTGAGCTGCTCAACAGTCTGTAAGGAGGACACCGGAACAGAGGCGAGAGCCCGGGACACGCTTTCCCGGATCTCCCTCCTGGTTCTCAGCTCCTCCGCGGTACCACCAGACTTCATCTGGTGATTAGAAAGACACACTAGGTTAGTGTCACCGGTTCAAATGAGTTCAGATGTGCAATGATTAACGTATGTTACCTGATTGAGCTTGCTGATGAGAGCAATGGAGTATGGGATGATCTCCTGAGGGTTGCCATGTTGGACCAGAGTTACCAGTTCCATCTGACTCTTGTGTCCGAGCCATCCACTGCTAGTCTTGCTACTGGGCAGATCTTCAACCACCAGTGTTCTGAAGAATAAAATGGGATCATAGGAGTTCCAGGATAGTCCTTCTGGTAATTACTCTGGTCTTTATGTAACTTTGATTATTAAATACTTGCATGTGTAGATATTTCAGTGCATTTAAATGATCTTGTTGAGGATGAAGGTTTTCCACCAAGCTAGGTTTATAGATAACTCCAAGCTAGTATTTGTATCTGTTTTGACCAGCCAACCACCACCTTCAGAACTGATGCTAACGTTTAACCACCTTGTTTTAGGACCAGAGTACTGGTGAGTAGAGTTATGGAGACCAAACTCCGAGTTAACATGGACAGAATAATGGTGCTTGCACATTTTGAAGTGGGATGTGCAGAGTGTGCTGCAGACGTCGAGGCCAGACCACAGTAGAAGGGTGCAAAACATTGCAAACACACCCACAGCACTTAATGCTGGTTGCACGGAAACATGGCACACTGCACCCTAAGCCTGGCCCATCACAGCTAAGAGACACCAAGACAGATGAGCCTGCACACAAACGCTCACACCTAGGAGCGACTCATGAATCATCATTCACCCAAGTGTATCATTTAAACTACCTGTTTAGAGCTGTGACCTTTGCCCCCTGATGATCTTCTATCATGATAGTAACAGTGATGATTGTTATGTTTTGTAGCTCTCCAGGACTTCCCAAGGGGACCAAGCAGCCAAATGTTGTGCGAGTACCCCTAGGAGAAAAAAAACGGATAAAAACTCCCATTCCTCCATCACTTTCGACTAAATGTAATGACGATAGAGGACGAGGGCTGTATTCACCTGTAGAGCGTTAACATGGGACACGCAGTGCCGACAGGCCAGCATGGTGCCACTTGGAAGGTGTATATTAACTGAGAGGCCTTGCTTTCATCATCGTGCCAGCCTGACAAATAAATAAAAAAATGCAAACGTTGTTCTCTCTGACCATTTTTGTGTTTTGATTTGGAGTTTTTCACAGCGTGTGTCTTTTACCTGAACAGTTGTAAGTGACCACTGTCTCCAGCAGACGTATGCCTGATTCAGGACTGAGAGCACATACTCCACCTCGAGGTGAACGGCTTGTCTCTATGGTTAAACTTGCACCCCCCCTCCACCTGCTGCCAGACTGGGACACATTCAGGAAAAAGGAATAACTGCGACCAGGGTGCAGGACACCTGAACGCACCACCAGGCTGGGCGAATGTGTTCCTGTAGAGGTTGCGATATCACTGAGGTCAAGGGTCATGCCATTCTGGTCTTCAGCTCTCCATTTGTACTGTGAAGAGGGAGTTCTTCCATGAGATTTAAACACTGAGTGCCTTACTCAGCTTTACTTTCTAAACAACGATGGGTGTGTGCGTAACTTCAGATATTCATGCTAAAGTAATTCAGAAAAACTGGAAAAATTATTTATTGAAGACTAGAAAAGCAAAGATTCTTCATAGTTTCAACAATTTCAGTAGGAATGACCTGTAATTACCAGAGTCTGATGATCACACTGTCCACAAACTCCTTTAAGAACAGCAGGAGTGGTGGGACCAACGTGGTGAACGGAGGAACTGGCAGAACAGGAAACACATGTTACAGTCACAGGAAGCACTGAAGCTTCAGCCACAGTTACCTGCAACAGGTGAGACAGTTTCAAAACACGGTTACACGTGAAGCTAGGCAGATTTGTGTTGGTCATGTGTTCAAAAGCATGTAGCGACTGATCCTACAGTCTGATTGACGGAGGTGGATCTCGTCCCGTTCTTGTGGACCGTGAGGATGAATATGTAGAGGGTTCCTGGGTGCAGCTGAGTGCTGAGTACAGTCATCGTCGTGTCCGTGCTCTCAATGGGCAGCTTTACTGGAGGAGACTCTGTGGAGTTCTAGAATTACAGGTGCTACGTTAGTGAGGTAAGTATTTTTTATTTTATTTATTGATTGTTTCATTTCAGGCATTTAGATTCATGCACACATGCATTTGCACATTTACAAAAAATTGATTTCTTAATGAACATTTATATAGTTGCCTGAAAGGGAGTGGGAAGAAGAAAACATATTTAATCCCACCCCATTTACTCACACTTTCAATATGCTTCCCTGCTGTTTCTATAAATGAGTGATACTAATAATTCACCTTTTGTCCCCAGTGGATTACACTAACTCACATCGTGTTGCATCTATCACTGGAACAATACATATTTTACAGTGGTGACATGTTACGGTTGCCAGTCTGGACAGGGAAGAGCAGAAGCCAGGATCACCCAGCTCTGGTGAATCAGCCTGACACTGCCCCTCATTCTCCTCTCTCCCGGGCTGCTGAGGAGCACAGCTGAGCTACATGGTTGATTGCCAACACCTGCATAAAAAGGCTGTGCCTTCAGCAGTCTGGGAGGCAGCAGTGCAGGGGTTCTGCTGTCCTCCTGGTTTTTAGATTGGTTTCAACCCCTTTCGTTTAGATTCATGTGGATGAGTTTTAAACTTTGGTTTGGTTTTTAACTCTTAGTAAGAAGCTTTTGGATGATCCAGTCGGATCTTTGTTGCAGTTTGGTTTTAAGGTTAACTTTGTTTGTGGGTATTTTAATGACCTCGGTTTTAAACACCTTCGCTGTGGTAAAGCTTTTTAAAATAAGTTTTTACCACGTGTTTTAGTCAGTATATTGTTTTGGAACTTTTATCAACTTCGGGATTTTAAAACACCTTCTGTTCGGTTAAGCTTTTAACAAAGTTCTAACCAGGTGTTTTTATAGTTGATAATTTGTTGTGATGTTAACCTTTTAGAGAGATCTGTTTGCATGTTTTTAGAACCTTTTTGTTACAATTAAACCCTTTTAATATCCAGTCTTGTTACCCCCATCCTTCACTTTTTGACAACACCTGTCGGGGACGTAACAAGTGGGGGCTCGTCCGGGATTTTTTAACAACAGACCGTGAAGGAATCCAACAATCCCCTGGTGGTGGTATTTTAATGGTGTTTTTGTTTGAAAGGTTTTAAGCAGCAGATGGATTCGTGGATCACTGGCAGGTGCATCTGGAGGCTCCGCCCCTGCAGGAGGATCCAGCCAAGCATGAGTAGAGGATTGAAAATGTGGATCCAGAGATGACCCCCACACTTAAAATGATGACAGAGGTCAGCAATTTACATCATAGGTACACTTCAACTGTGAGAGACAGAATGTGAAAAAAAATCCATGAATTCACATGGCGCGCTACCAACACTATCTATAGTGGCGATGGTGTGCTGCTGACCTCTACTCAGGACATTGTGGATCGGTGGGCAGAATACTTCGAAGACCTCCTCAATCCCATCGACACGTCTTCCAGTGAGGAAGCAGAGTCTGGGGACTTTGGGTTGGCCTCTCAAATCTCTGATGCTGAGATCACTGAGATGGTTAAAAAGCTCATCTGTGGCAAGGCTCCAGGGGTGGATGAGATCCGCCCGGAGTTCCTTAAGGCTCTGGATGTTGTGGGGCTGTGTTGGCTGACGCGGCTCTGCAATATCGTGTGGACACTGGGGGCAGTCCTACTGGACTGGCAGACCGGGTTGGTGGTCTCCTTATTTCAAAAGGGGGACCGCAGGGTGTGTTCCAACTACAGGGGGATCACACTCCTGAGCCTTCCTGGTAAGGACTATTCAGGGGTTCTGGAGAGGAGGGTCCATCGGATTGTTGAACCTCATATTCAGGAGGAGCACTGTGGTTTTTGTCCTGGCCGTGGAACACTGGACCAGCTCTATTCCCTTAGGGGAATCCTGTAGGGTGCGTGGCAATTTGCCCAACCAGTCTACATATGTTTTGTGGATTTGGAGAAGGCGTTTGACCGCGTCCCTCGGGGGACCCTGTGGGGGGTACTCTGGGAGTATGGGGTACCAGGCCCTCTGATACGGGCTGTTAGGTCCCTGTATGACCGGTGTCAGAGCTTGGTCTGCATTACCGGCAGTAAGTCGGGCTTGTTCCCAGTGAGAGTTGGACTCCGCCAAGGCTGCCCTTTGTCACCGATTCTGTTAATAACCTTTATGGACAGGATTTCCAAGCGCAGCCAAGGTGTGGAGGACATCTGTTTTGGTGGCCTGAGGATCAGGTCTCTGCTTTTTGCAGATGATGTGGTCTTGTTGGCTTCATCAGAACGTGATCTTCAGCTTTCGCTGGAGCGGTTCGCAACCGAGTGTGAAGCAGCTGGGATGAGAATCAGCTCCTCTAAATCTGAGACCATAGTCTTGATTCGGAAAAGGGTAGAATGCCTTCTCCGGGTCAGGGATGAGGTCCTACCCCAAGTGGAGGAGTTTAAGTATCTCAGGGTCCTGTTCACGAGTGAGGGAAAACTGGAGCGTGAGATGGATAGATGGATTGGTGCTGCATCTGCAGTGATGCAGGCGTTGTACCGGTCTGTTGTGGTGAAGAGAGAGCTGAGTCAGAAGGCGAAGCTCTCGATTTACCAGTCGATCTATGTTCCTACCCTCATCTATGGTCATGAGCTTTGGGTAGTGACCGAAAGAACGAGATTGCGGATACAAGCGGCCGAAATGAGTTTTCTCCCAAGAGTGGCTGGGCTCTCCCTTAGAGAGACATTCGGGAGGAGCTCGGAGTAGACCCGCTGCTCCTCCACGTCGAGGAGCCAGTTGAGATCATGCCTCCTGGATGCCTCCCTGGTGAGGTTTTCCGGGCACGTCCAACCGGGAGGAGACCTAAAGATAGACCCAGGACACGGTGGATGGACTATGTCTCTCCCCTGGCCAGGAAACGCCTTGGGATTCCCCCGGAGGAGCTGGCCTAAGTGGCTGGGGAGAGGGAAGTCTGGGCCTCTCGCATTAGGCTACTGCTCCCACGACCCGACTCCGGATAAGCGGATGAAAATGGATGGAAGGATGGATATATATATATATATATATATATATATATATATATATATATATATATATATATATATATATATATAACACACACACACACACACACATGTATATATATATATATATATATATATATATATATATATATATATAATATTCTACGAGATCAGAAAAATCTTGATGGGTATGATCTAAAAAGCCAACTTTGTGAATAATCCATATTGCTCATTTCTGTAATATTACTAGTGAACTAGTTGCGTTATAAGTGTTTCCCCACACTTCAACACAGTTTCTGAAGTATGAGAGTACCAGGGTACCGTATAAGGAACGGAGTACATTCCCATCCACGAATGGTTTGGCTTTAAAATTGAAAGGCCTTTGGAGAGTTTTGTTTTATGTGCCTGACATGGGGTTTCCACGACAGTTTATTACCAATTACAATTCCCACAAACGTATTTTCGTTAACAGTTTCAATTTGGATATCCTCAATTTATTTATTTATTTTTAAATCATAGATTTAGTTTTTTTCTATATTTAAGGATAGTTTGTTCATATCCAGTTTAATAACACATACGTCATTGTTTGCAGTATTCACAGGCTCATTGTAATTATCACTTCAGTAGAACATATTTGTATCATTGGCAACGAGAATACATTTTAACACTTTGGATAAATAAAAAAATACAATTTCTATACATATTGAAGAATTTTGTTCCAAGCACAGATCCCTGGGGAACACCACAAGCAATTCCAAGTTTTTCAGATGTATGTTTTGGTAAGTGTGACATTCTGCTGCTTTTCACAGAGTAATAAGTCTAAATGACGTTAAAATATTATGAAACATTGATATGTACCTTGATTAAGCAGGTCCAGTGATACTGCAGTGTATCAGTCACTCCAGGTTCCACATCTGGGTCATGAGACCCAGAGCCATCCAGAACCAAGTCCCTGACATAAGGCCAGAGTCTACTGGAGCCTCCCTGGATGACAGCCACTAACTGGGAGTGGACCACAGTTATGTTAGTCTCCTGCTGGACAGCTAGAGGAGTTCCCTTGAATGACACAGTGAGCTGCAGGCAGTATTCTCCAACATGAAGAGAGTGCTTTGGAAGAATGAGAAGAGGCAAGGCAGCATCCTTGTCACTTAGGCAGACTTTGGTCCCATTCGTTAAACATATCCCTCTAAAGATTTCCCACAAGTATGAAGTCTTATAGGCAGAACAGTTCATGGTCACACTTGCTTCAAAGAAATTTAGTCTGGATCTGAAGATGGTAGGTTGATTCTGGACCAGGGAGGCCTGTGGGCTGGAGCAACGAAGCGCCTCCACCTCCACTTCTAGATGTGTTGACACGTGGCTAACACTGTTGAAAACTTTGACTGCAATAGTGTATTTCCCTGTAGAATTATACACATGGCCAACAGCACTCACTGTTGTCATCAGTACTGTGGTTGAATCTCCAAAGTCCCAAAGGTATCTCACACTGCTGCCCTCAATCACTGTTGCAAAAAGACTGACAGCCTGTCCAACAAATATTCTTTCTGAGTGACAGACAAGTTTGACTTTTCTAATGGGCCATTCAGCTCTTACAGTCTCGTGGATCGTTTGGGAGCAGGCTCCATCGCTGGCATGCACAGTAACTGAGAACAAACCACTCTCCAGTGCAGTAAAGTTCACTTCTTGTCCAAAAAGTAACATAGGTTCAGAGTTTTCCAACTGAAACGTCCATGTGTAGTTGATAGGAGAGCCAGTCTGAACTTCAGCCTTGAATCTGGCTCCTTTTTTAGCTTCTAGTGAAATCAAGCAACAGTTTATAAGATGCAAACCTTGGATACTCTCAGTTACCACGATGCTACTGGACAACTCAGCACTACTGACCAGGTTCAGAGCCTTGACTGTAACCAGGTGTCTGCCAGATGAAAGGTTTGATGTTGCAAACTGCTCTCCAAAAATCTCCTGAGTTTGAATCTTGTCTTTGTTTTGGAGAGCTATAAAAAAGCTCACATTACTTCCTTTGGTAACCGTTGGAACAAACACAACTTGTTCATGAGTGCACAAAGAGGTCTTGCTAATGTTCAACAGAAAACCTTTGATTGGTTCCTGAGCGGTGATGCTGTGTGAGGTCATCTGCCAATTTAGGTCATTAGAGACATTCAGAGACACCAGATACATGCCTATATGTACAAGTCTGAATGTAAAAGTTGGATCAGTGGAGGTAAAAATATTTTCTTTGCCACTTTTAACCTTCCAAGTCCAATGGAGGCCACTACCTTCATGAGCAAATCCATGAAAAGAAAGGAAAGTACTAACGTTGACAGAAAAAGGACGCTTCTTTCCATCTATTGTGAAATCAACATTTCGGATCTCCTCCTGGACTGTAAACTGCTTGGTGTGACGACTCTGGCTGAGGACATTCTGAACTGACACTGTAATGAAACTAAGACCCAGATCAGTGAAGGTGTAAAGAAAAAAGGGCTCGTGTGTCAAATGTGAAGACGTGTTGGTGTTTACGTACCACCGGTACTGTAGGTGTGAACCTGTATTCACAAACACAGTCATGTTTACTGCTGTCCCTGTTGCTACGATGCTCGATTGTGTTGCAAGGTGTGCACCAGTTACACGTTCTACTGCCACAAGAGAAACACCAGAGATAACCTGACCCAGGATATTGGAAGCTTTAAGACGGACCAAAATCCTGCCAGGCGTGTCAGCCACTACATGAAACAGCTCTCCATCCTGTTGTTGGATCACACCTCTCTGTGCAACAAGCCAGTGATAAGTGATGTTGGACCCTTTGATCACTGATGCAGTAAATAGCATTTCCTCATGAGTTGGTATATATTTCTTGTCTGTGATACTTTGACATTCAATCTGAAGCCCCTCAATTATTTCATGAACCTCTATTAGAACTGCTTCCTCTCTTTTACTGACCAGGTTTTGAGCTGTAACCCTCACTTCAAACACTCCTGGTTTGGAGGATATAAACTGAAACTGAGGAGTCCGTTCTTCGGTTGGATCACCTTCTACTGTCCAATAGTAGTTAGTGATGCTCCTATCACTGCTTACCGCTGTGATAACAATTTGCTGCCCTACTACAGCGTAAAGCTGATCAGTGTGAAGTGAAAGATCTGAAACTGGGAGTAGAACATTTATGTTAAGGGCTGCAGAGTCACGACTGATGGAGTTAAACGCTGTTGCAGTGACTGTAAATGTACCAGTTGAGTAAAAGACATGGGACATGTTCAGTTTCTTCTCTATAGGGGAACCATCTCCGAAGTCCCAGACCACTGACACGTTGCTGCCAACAACACGGGCAACCCAGAATAAAGTTGACTTATTGACTGCGAGGGCATCACTCTGACTATCATGTGTGATTGTGAGCTCACTGACTGGTTTTTGAGTGGAGATAATAGTTTTAGCCGTTTTGTTGCTGACTTTGTTGCTCACTACTACAAACACCTCTTCATCACCTTCACTGCTGAAGGCGAAACACTTGGAGTTTTCTGTGGTGGAAACCAAACCAGACGAGCTACTAAACCACATAAACTGGTAAACTGTCGTCTGTTCAGGGGAAACCAACGCTCTGAGGCAAACCTGTTCCTGGACTGCCACCACGCCCCGAGAAGTCTGCAGCTCAACATTAGCTATCGGGCTTTCAACGCAAATACTTGAGTTCAATGAAACAGATGCGAAAGAACTAAACACAGTCAGACGAATGGGAAAGATGCCATGGGCTGGGAAAGTGTGCACGACAGTTGGTTTTCCATTCATCACAACTGAAAGTGAATCTTTTCCCAAAGTCCAGTGAAAACTCAGAGAAGAAACGTTTCCATTCACCAGAGCAGTCAGCTGTACATCCTTTCCACTCATGACACAGTCTGTAGGGAGAACTCCACTGACAGCCAGACTGTACACTTCAACAAGGACTGATAGACGAGCTTGGCTGACAGCGTTGGAAGCACTCACACCAACTCTATATTTCCCCGGAAAAGCATAGATATGAGAGATGTAGCCATCTGTAAGATTTTCCAGCACAGACTCATCACCAAAGTCAAACCCCCAAATGGGATCAGAGCCAGTGGCAACTTGAGCCCTGAAGTCCACCGGAGCGCCTGCTTCACTCGGGCTGCTGAATGTGACAGTCAGTCCTGAGACTTTCTCCATAACGATCACCATGAGTGAGGCGGCAAGAGAACTCACACTGTTGCTGGCAAATACAACGACACTGTAAACTCCTGCTGATTCAAAGCTGTGGTTAACCTTCTCATGGAGTCCTTGGATCACTTTGGAAGCATCACCAAAGTCCCAGGTGTAGAGGACAGTGAGGGTTGAGGGTTTGATGGCGGCTTCCAGATAAAGAGTCTCTTTCACCAGAGGAATCTGAGTGGAAGGGAAGATGTGGAGACTGGAGAGCTGAGGGAGAGCGCTGATCCTCATGGATGAGCTGGTGTTCATAAACTGATTAAAAACTTCAACATGAAGTGTATAGTTCCCTAAAGAAAATACAAAAATATGTTTTACTTTGTGGAACGGGATAGAAAATGTCAAAGATGCAATGTGAATAAAACAGCAGCAAAAGTAAGCATGTAAACCTCATGTGGTCAAAAAACAACTATTGAGACATAAAAAATGCATCAAACTCATTAACTTTATTTTAACAAAGCTAACAGGCCAGTAAGGCCACTGGGGGATCTACAGTGTACAGTGTTCAGTGGTACCCTGGCCTCTGGCTGCCCATATTATGACCATTCTCGTCCGCCATATTGTTTTTAAGTTGCAAACAAAACGTCATCTGAAAAATGTGCAAAAGGTAGTTTTAAGGGAAATATTTGATCAACTTGACATAAATAATACATATTTGTATGCCATGATCAAAACTAGACAATTTTATTATTTAGGATATTTCCTGTTTTTACTATCTTGCTGTGTTAGAGTAAATTGCAGGTTAGAGACTCCCATGAACCAATGTTTAGAGAAACATAATAGAAACTTGTTTAAAACATTTGCCAAACCAAGTGACATCAGCTGAGGGAGTCCTGTTAGCTTAATCCAGAGAAAACTATGGATTCTAATGCGGCTCTGACACAGAGGAAACTTTAAATGCTTATAATTCTACTTCTGATCGACCAAAACCACAAAATTATGAGTTTGCTGCTCATCCCCGAGAGCAGAGACAAACCAGAGGGAGAAAACATCGGCCAAAGCAGAGAGATTGTGGAGAGCAGCGGGTGAGTTAACTCGTGTGCTTACATCACAATATTGTATAGATTATTATCGTGTACCAGACAATTTAATTTGTATCGCTTAGGTTAATATAATATTAATACGAATGAGCCTCTGTCAGCGGTCTCATACTCTTTAATATCCGTTCACATAATGTAGTTTAGTGCTTAGAGAGGGAGAGAGACGTCTGTGATCCGGTTCTGGAGCTCATGCAGGCTTCTGGGAGCTGGATCCGACCCAGACACCAGCACGCCTGTCCAGCTGGTATTTTTAAAATACATCCTCTCCTGGTGGTCCAGGCAGCGGTTCTGATCCAGTTCCGACCCAGAAAACAGCTGTCCTGCTGAGCCGTGCATCTCTTCTGGTGGTCGGGTCTGACCTGGTTCTGACGGTGAACTGAGCTCCAGAAATTAACATTTAATTCTTTAAACCCCACCAAAGATCGGAGCCCAGCGCGGAACTCCCTGTCCCAGTAAAGACCAATGTGGGCTACAGAAGTACAGTCTTTTCAGCTGCACAAAATGTCCTCAAGCACGGAGATAGAGGCATTTCTCTTATCTGGAAACCCGGGGACTTGATGTCCAGACAGGCTGGAGTTGATACCGCCTTCACACACTATAGTTTATCAACATGAACACAATCTATAACTAGTAAACACACACACTGACTCGATAACACAACCTCTCTACCCTAAATATAGCCACTCTCCACAATGAGCTGAGGCAGCGCCTAGCTTCTAACTCCCTTTGGTTACGTCAGAGGTTCAGATTTAGAACAAAGGGTTAGGTTAAGTCAACAGAAGCGTGTGGACAAACCAAGGCACAAAATAACTGCCCACGAGCTGAGAAAAGTCAAGCGTGCAGCTGCCAAGATGCCACTTGCCACCAGTTTGGCCATATTTCAGAGCTGCAACATCACTGGAGTGCCCAAAAGCACAAGGTGTGCAATACTCAGAGACATGGCCAAGGTAAGAAAGGCTGAAAGACGACCACCACTGAACAAGACACACAAGCTGAAATGTCAAGACTGGGCCAAGAAATATCTCAAGACTGATTTTTCTAAGGTTTTATGGACTGATGAAATGAGAGTGAGTCTTGATGGGCCAGGTGGATGGGCCCGTGGCTGGATTGGTAAAGGGCAGAGAGCTCCAGTCCCACTCAGACACCAGCAAGGTGGAGGTGGAGTACTGGTTTGGGCTGGATTCATCAAAGATGAGCTTGTGGGGCCTTTTCGGGTTGAGGATGGAGTCGAGCTCAACTCCCAGTCCTACTGCCAGTTTTTCAAGCAGAGGTACAGGTAGAAGTCTGCATCCTTCAAGGAAAACATGATTTTCATGCAGGACAATGCTCCATCACACGCGTCCAAGTACTCCACAGCGTGGCTGGCAAGAAAGGGTATAAAAGAAGAAAAACTAATGACATAGCCTCCTTGTTCACCTGATCTGAACCCCATTGAGAACCAGTGGTCCATCATCAAATGTGAGATTTACAAGGAGGGAAAACGGTACACCTCTCTGAACCGTGTCTGGGAGGCTGTGGTTGCTGCTGCACGCAATGTTGATGGTGAACAGATCAAAACACTGACAGAATCCATGGATGGCAGGCTTTTGAGTGTCCTTGCAAAGAAAGGTGGCTATATTGGTCGCTGATTTGTTTTTGAATGTCAGAAATGTATATTTGGGAATGTGGACATGTTATATTGGTTTCACTGGTAAAAATAAATAATTGAAATGGGTATATATTTGTTTTTTGTTAAGTTGCCTAATAATTATGCACAGTAATAGTCACCTGATATCCCCCTAAAATAGCTAAAACTAAAAACAAACTAAAAACTACTTCCAAACACATTCAGCTTTGATATTAATGAGTTGTTTGGGTTCATTGAGAACATGGTTGTTGTTCAATAATAAAATTATTCCTCAAAAATACAACTTGCCTAATAATTCTGCACTCCCTGTAGAAAACTCTGCTGTTATGTAGTTTAAAATGAACTAAAACGACAAATAAGATTTTCAAATAGTATTTTTGGACAGCATTTTATGAATTAGAAAAAATATGTAACCTGCAATTTGCTCTTTAAGACCTAATGTGCCCTAATGGCTGCCGGTTGTTTACCAATCGGACCAAACAGATTTTATGATAAATTGAAGAAATATCGAATATTGTTGCAAAAACCATTTTACCCATGTGGACAGTTAACCTCCACGTCTGCTAACTGCTAAACTGGAAGGCTGATGGTGACCAGTGTGTTTGCACCTCCACCATCCTACACTGGTTACACAATAGCTCTGTGCTAAGCATCCAGATGACTATGATGATACTTTACCTTGTGATCACCAGGTAGATCATGTATGCAGTGAGGACATGTTGGGCTTTACTGGTCTAGCTGTGGATGTTCCTCTCTGATGCGGAGGGATCATTTGCTCTAGTTGTATGCTGGTTAATGACAAGCTACCGCTAACAGCACTAATCAGATAGGATATTAGTGCAGAGCGGGTCTACGGCAGTGTTTTTACCTTGGAAAGAAAAAGAGTGATTCACTGAGTCCTGAACATACGCCTGCTTCTGTCCCCTCTCCAAAAGGCCGTCCGTGCTCTGGCATGAAGGAGTGTGTGTGTGGACCACAGCCTCACTGCCATCCCCAAAATCCCACCTACATGACACACAGGAATGATTACTGATGGAAGATTTTACATCTTAAGTGGAAAATAGGAACATTGTTCAGCTTTTATTGTGTTTGATTTTCTGCTTTCTGTTGTGTTCAGCACTTGGGTTTCTCTCGTCTGGAGTGACTGAATAGAGTTTTACAAAAAAGATGATGACAAGATGATAAAATCTACCTTTTCCCAAGAGGGATTAGAAAATGTGGAATTTTTCTTACATGATAAATGTGCGAGTGACTCACTTAAAAGCAACAGGAAGGGCGATGTCCACTTTGACCCTGAAGGTGTAGGTGTGTGTAACATTTATAGCCATGACCTCCCTGACAGACAGGAACTGGGGCTCAGTAAGCGGTGTGGTTTCCTCAGCAGTCAAGAGGATCTGAAGGCTCTGTGAGCTCACCGGGTTTGATGCAGTCACCTAGAAAAACAGCTTTAAACCTCAGTTTTCACACATTCAATAAAAAAAACTCAGCATCTGAACAAATGTGACGCCTAGAAGAGAAACCAGTTTACCTGAAGCTTATACTCAGCAGCTTTCTCAAACGTTACACGGCAGGACTCTCCTTCGTGTGCAAACTCCCCCAGGTTGTCGATCATCCAGGTGAATTTGACTTGAGAACCACTTTCCACTTTGGCTGTAAATGTCTGCAGAGTAAAGCACTTCAAACGTGAACAACATCTAGAATGTCAATCCATAATTAATAAAAAAAGAAAAAGGCAGAACCTGCAGCTGTTGAAGGGCCTCAGTCAAAAAGCAGGATAGAAACAGTTTTTTACTGCTCACGTTAGGATTTTTGTACTTTTAACGTTTACTCTTCAGCAACTGGTGACAAACACAATATGGAGGAGAAATACATCCAAAATGTTTTTGGCATTCACTAAAGGTCATTAAGAAATCGGCATCATCATTAATGCAGCTGTAACCGTTGACGACAGGATGTATTTTCACTTCAGCCATTTCTGTTTCCAGCTCAAGCACTCTGCTGCTAGCCTAGTGAACTAGACCAAATTCTTGCTTTGCAAAGTTTGCAAATAAACAAATAAATACTACATTTATTTAGTCTGGCTTGCCAGGCTACTCTGCTGCTGCAGGTTTCAGAGAACCAAACAGATCTCTGCTGCTGTATAATTAAAGAGTTGTCATTCCAAGAAGAAACACAAACAAGTAGCCTTTCATGCAAAAGCTTAAATTAAGGTAATCACGTGGTGAGAGATGATGGAGTTGGGCTGATTTCCTAGCCTAGAGAACTAGACAAACGTAAAGCTCTGCAGGTCGGTCTAGTCATGCTCCATTATAGCCTCAGCAGGTCTGCTACTGGAAAGAACATTTTTATGTTGGGAGTAGATGTCCTGGGATAAGTCACCAGAGATGTGACGGTCATTGTAGGGTTGAGTGAGCGCTGGCGCGTTTGGCTGCCGCTGCTCACCGGTAAACTTTGATTTTCTATGCTGGACTGGCACAATCGGATTGTTGACTGGACTGTGGATATCAATATCAATCCTAACCTCCAAGTGTGGTCTTCACTCGTCTGGATTCTATCATTCATCTTCCACCGACCTGCTGCTGGTCTCCTCCAGTACACTGCTGCTGAGCTCCTCAGGAACCGCCACCACCCTGGATCTCCACCGGCTTCACTGCACCTCGACCCGGCCATCTCTCGTCTTCTTCGTCGAAGATATGTCCACCGTGGCTCACGCAGAACTTCCACTACCACAACTCCGCTTCAGTCAATTCCTTCTGGTCCACTACTTGCCGTCATCCTCACAGGAATTCATACCGCCGGACAGCTGATCACTCCTCGTTAGCCAGCCTCGCCAGGACAGCTAATGCTCATGGATGTGGCAGCACTACCATCAACTTCGGCCTCCTCAACATCCGCACTCTCAGTGGAAAAGGTCATTTCATTCACGATCTCATCAAGGACCGTGGAATAGACTTCATGTGCCTTTGCAAAACTTGGCAGCAGCCAGCTGATTTCTCCCAACTGAACGACGCTACTCCTCCCGCAGTGATTCTGAGATATCAGATATTATCCACAAGTCAAAGCCTTCTACCTGCCTTCTCGACCCCCTTCCCAGGGCCTTGATTAAATCCTGCCTCCCCTCCCTGCTCCCTCTTGTCTCCTCTCATACACGCATCCCTTTCCTCCGGTATTGTTCCCTCTATCTTCAAAACTGCTGCAGTTACTCCAATACTTAAAAAACCTGGATTGGATCCTAACATTTTTACTAATCTCTGCCCCATCTCCATCCTACCCTTTGTCTCCAGAGTTTTAGAAAAAATAGTCGCTGCCCAGCTTCACACCCATCTGACACTAAACTCCTTCTATGAACCCTTCCAGTCCGGTTTCCGCCCACTTCATGGCACAGAAACAGCCCTCCTCAAAATAACTAACAATCTCCTCGTTGCTGCTGATTCCAGTCTACTATCCATCCTGGTCCTCCTTGATCTGAGTGCGGCCTTTGACACAATATCTCGCTTTGAAGTCCTTACTCTGAAAGGCTGTGTGGGTCATTTATCATTAATCATTGGTCCTGATTGGTTCAATTGCATGTGAAGACAATTCGTAAGACTACCGTCCCACAACTGAGCTCTTTCTGTTAGTTGTGACCAGACCAGACATTTACATAGATGTGATGGTTAAAAGTTATTTGCAACTTCATGCAAGTTTGAAATACCTCCTTTGATCTGTTAGCACTCAGCGTTTGTGTTGTGAATGACTGATGCTGCAACCATATCAAAAGCCAGTCGGCTGTGGCAGTCATCTTGAATTCAATTCATTTGAAAAACTCCACACGTGCACACACACACACACACACACACACACACACACACACACACACACACACACACACACACACACACACACACACACACACACACACACACACACACACAAAGAAAACATTTGCAGTTAGACCTTAATAAATTGATTTAAACAAGCATCTTCTTGACTTACCCGTGGCATAAACATGAGGGTCCTCTGACACGCGTGTGGCTCTATGGTGAGTCCCGTCACTGCCTCATAGCCGTGAACTTCAACAGTCTGAACTCTGTCTGAATGTCCAACACTAATGTTGAGTGTGTGAACCCCCAGTGATGGCAGCACAAACATCACAGAGGAAAACCTGCTGCCTGCATATTTGGTCTTACAGTCAGGAATGGACTGAACCACAGGTTCAGGACAGGATGGGTGAAAGGGGACTTCAGTTTGTAGAACTGGAGCAGACCACGAGCTTGTGGCTTTTTCTCCGACCAGGGCCTTGACAACAATCATGGTTGGGATGTTAATCGTGAGGTGAATCCGGTTGTTTTCATCTGGTTGAGGGTAGATGATGTTGACTGTGAAGTGAATGGGACCTGGTGTCTGGGGCCTGATGTAAGAAGCTGTGGTTGTCTCTGTGAGTGGATCAGAAAATTCTTCCTGTTCAGTTACTCTGTGGAGTTTATCTTCATACAGTATCCTCAGATCACACACCACCTCATCCATCCACTTGCTTCCTCTGGGGAGTGAAGTGAGGCCTCTCTCCCACCAGCCTCCCCATTCCTCCCTTCTGAGGAGCAGGTAACTTTGACGCCAGGGGGAGTTTGTTGCTGCATCACCGTTTAGGCAGTGCAGAAATGCTCCAGAGTCACGATTGTGTTGCACAGCTACGATATCATCGGGATACACCATGATGTCTCGCTCTGGAAGGAGAATCTTTTGCAGAAAACACACGATTAGTGCAGTTTGTTGTAACTAAAAGATATCCAGGGAAGATTCCACAACTCCTATCCACTCACATTTAACCTTTTTAACTTGGAGCATGGGTTGATGTCCAGGGGCAGGTCTGCCACCAGGTGGTAAAAGGGAGGAAGTGCAGGGTATCTTGGAGGTAAAGTGAAGCCACGGCTAATAACTGCAGTGTCGTAGGGACTGCATGGACGGGTGTTAGGCACACACACCTCCAGCAGATGGCACCAGTAGTGACCCACACTGCAGCCCCCCGTAGTGTTGCAGAGTGGCTGAGCTGAGCAGCAGCTGAACGGATTTAGAAGAGAGCTGCACCCTAAAGAGATTAAGCAGTTATAACCAGCCAATGCCCCAAACACCAAATGTATGATTAAAAAAATGTTAACGCTGCTTCTAGTGGCCCATCAGGGTATCCAAGGTAACCACTAATTCTTTAAGGTTGTCCTAGAAACCAAACATCAGTGTCTCTCACTCCCTGAGAGCAAATGGGAAAAGAGGCAGAAAGCAACTTGGACTGGTAAAGGTGCTGGTGTTTGGGCTCTGATGGTCACATGTGACTGAATGTGTTTACCATGTTATATGTAGGAGAAAGGACAAGTTAAAAACAACCCTTCTCATGCAGCTTTGAAAAGAATGCTGAGCTAAATTAGAATGGAAATCTATGGAAGCTCAAGTGTCCACTCTATCAAAAATACAATTAAACTGTGATTATGACAAAAACCTTTGAAGATATCAAGTCACCAGCACAGTCTTTAAAAGCCAACTTCCTGCACCCAGTTTAAACGTTGAAAGATGCTTTCATTGTGAAATCTGGAGTTTGCCACCAGTTTTGCCAAAATTGGTGACTATCTAACACAGGAAAGCAGTGAGAGCAATCTGTGGCAATGGTCATGGCGCACCTGGTGGTACCAGGTGGTGGTTGGGACTGCAGTAGGGCCTAAGGATCTGCACACGGGCCAGAGAGGAGACGGGGCTGGGCTGAACCACCAGTTCTACGGACACCAGCTGACCAGCATGACTGAACCACAGACCTGGAAAAAGCAGCATCTGTAAAGATTGTAAGAGCGAGAGAAAAGTTACACATTTATAACAGAATGTAATGGTTGTTGGTTCCAGTATTCAAACATCAATGTGAACTTGTGTTTTATAAAATTAGAACATATAAGTAGACAAAATATTGGAGAGATAGGGACCTTCTGAGTGAGAGACTGGTGCAAACTGTCTTGTAACTAAATTGCAAAGAAAAGGATAAATAGCTAACAAAGACACCTCCTGACCAAACTGTAACAAGCAAATGTACAAGACAGTTGGATCAGGACATATGAAATGTTGTCAGTAACTCGATCAAAAGGATTCAAGCTGAGAGGTTGAGGATTTTCATGTAATTGTGTTTTCATTTACCTTCCCAGTGAGACACTGGAAGAAATTTATCATGTTCCTTTAACGTTTAATAAATGTTTCTGTTGTCTCAACTTCCATCACCACCTGTAGGCTATGCATAAGATATGTTGTACAAGTATGGTATACTTAAGATATACTGTACAAGTATGGTATATGTAAGATATACCGCACATGTATGTTATGAGTAAGAAATAATGCACATGTATGGTATGAGTAAGATATAATGTACATGTATGTTATGAGTAAGATATAATGTACATGTATGGTATGAGTGAGATGTACTGTGCATGTATGGTATGAGTAAGATATAATGTACATGTATGGTATTAGCGAGATACATTGTACATGTATGGTATGAGTAAGATATATTGTACATGTATGTTATGAGTAAGATATAATGTACATGTATGGTATGAGTAAGATATAATGTACATGTATGGTATAAGTGAGATGTACTGTACATGTATGGTATAAGTGAGATGTACTGTACATGTATGGTATGAGTAAGATATAATGTACATGTATGGTATGAGTAAGATATAATGTACATGTATGGTATGAGTAAGATATAATGTACATGTATGGTATGAGTAAGATATAATGTACATGTATGGTATAAGTGAGATATACTGTACAAGTATGGTATATGTAAGATATACCGCACATGTATGGTATGAGTAAGATATAATGTACATGTATGGTATGAGTAAGAAATAATGCACATGTATGGTATGAGTAAGATATAATGTACATGTATGTTATGAGTAAGATATAATGTACATGTATGGTATAAGTGAGATGTACTGTGCATGTATGGTATGAGTAAGATATAATGTACATGTATGGTATTAGCGAGATACATTGTACATGTATGGTATGAGTAAGATATATTGTACATGTATGTTATGAGTAAGATATAATGTACATGTATGGTATGAGTAAGATATAATGTACATGTATGGTATTAGCGAGATACATTGTACATGTATGGTATGAGTAAGATATATTGTACATGTATGTTATGAGTAAGATATAATGTACATGTATGGTATGAGTAAGATATAATGTACATGTATGGTATGAGTAAGATATAATGTACATGTATGGTATGAGTAAGATATAATGTACATGTATGGTATAAGTGAGATGTACTGTACATGTATGGTATGAGTAAGATATAATGAACATGTATGGTATTAGCAAGATACATTGTACATGTAAGGTATGAGTAAGATATATTGTACATGTATGTTATGAGTAAGATATAATGTACATGTATGGTATAAGTGAGATGTACTGTACATGTATGTTATGAGTAAGATATAATGTACATGTATGGTATAAGTGAGATATACTGTACATGTATGGTATGAGTAAGATATAATGTACATGTATGGTATTAGCGAGATACATTGTACATGTATGGTATGAGTAAGATATATTGTACATGTATGGTATGAGTAAGATATAATGCACATGTATGGTATGAGTAAGATATAATGTACATGTATGGTATTAGCGAGATACATTGTACATGTATGGTATGAGTAAGATATATTGTACATGTATGTTATGAGTAAGATATATTGTACATGTATGTTATGAGTAAGATATAATGCACATGTATGGTATGAGTAAGATATAATGTACATGTATGGTATAAGTGAGATGTACTGTACATGTATGGTATGAGTAAGATATAATGTACATGCATGGTATTAGCGAGATACATTGTACATGTATGGTATGAGTAAGACATATTGTACATGTATGTTATGAGTAAGATATATTGTACATGTATGGTATGAGTAAGATATAATGCACATGTATGGTATGAGTAAGATATAATGTATATGTATGGTATAAGTGAGATGTACTGTACATGTATGGTATGAGTAAGATATAATGTACATGTATGGTATTAGCGAGATACATTGTACATGTATGGTATGAGTAAGACATATTGTACATGTATGTTATGAGTAAGACATATTGTACATGTATGTTATGAGTAAGATATAATGTACATGTATGTTATGAGTAAGATATAATGTACATGTATGTTATGAGTAAGATATAATGTACATGTATGGTATAAGTGAGATGTATGTACATGTATGGTATGAGTAAGATATAATGTACATGTATAGTATTAGCGAGATACATTGTACATGTATGGTATGAGTAAGACATATTGTACATGTATGTTATGAGTAAGATATATTGTACATGTATGGTATGAGTAAGATATAATGCACATGTATGGTATGAGTAAGATATAATGTATATGTATGGTATAAGTGAGATGTACTGTGCATGTATGGTATGAGTAAGATATAATGTACATGTATGGTATTAGCGAGATACATTGTACATGTATGGTATGAGTAAGATATATTGTACATGTATGTTATGAGTAAGATATAATGTACATGTATGGTATGAGTAAGATATAATGTACATGTATGGTATAAGTGAGATGTACTGTACATGTATGGTATAAGTGAGATGTACTGTACATGTATGGTATGAGTAAGATATAATGTACATGTATGGTATGAGTAAGATATAATGTACATGTATGGTATGAGTAAGATATAATGTACATGTATGGTATGAGTAAGATATAATGTACATGTATGGTATAAGTGAGATATACTGTACAAGTATGGTATATGTAAGATATACCGCACATGTATGGTATGAGTAAGATATAATGTACATGTATGGTATGAGTAAGAAATAATGCACATGTATGGTATGAGTAAGATATAATGTACATGTATGTTATGAGTAAGATATAATGTACATGTATGGTATAAGTGAGATGTACTGTGCATGTATGGTATGAGTAAGATATAATGTACATGTATGGTATTAGCGAGATACATTGTACATGTATGGTATGAGTAAGATATATTGTACATGTATGTTATGAGTAAGATATAATGTACATGTATGGTATGAGTAAGATATAATGTACATGTATGGTATTAGCGAGATACATTGTACATGTATGGTATGAGTAAGATATATTGTACATGTATGTTATGAGTAAGATATAATGTACATGTATGGTATGAGTAAGATATAATGTACATGTATGGTATGAGTAAGATATAATGTACATGTATGGTATGAGTAAGATATAATGTACATGTATGGTATAAGTGAGATGTACTGTACATGTATGGTATGAGTAAGATATAATGAACATGTATGGTATTAGCAAGATACATTGTACATGTAAGGTATGAGTAAGATATATTGTACATGTATGTTATGAGTAAGATATAATGTACATGTATGGTATAAGTGAGATGTACTGTACATGTATGTTATGAGTAAGATATAATGTACATGTATGGTATAAGTGAGATATACTGTACATGTATGGTATGAGTAAGATATAATGTACATGTATGGTATTAGCGAGATACATTGTACATGTATGGTATGAGTAAGATATATTGTACATGTATGGTATGAGTAAGATATAATGCACATGTATGGTATGAGTAAGATATAATGTACATGTATGGTATTAGCGAGATACATTGTACATGTATGGTATGAGTAAGATATATTGTACATGTATGTTATGAGTAAGATATATTGTACATGTATGTTATGAGTAAGATATAATGCACATGTATGGTATGAGTAAGATATAATGTACATGTATGGTATAAGTGAGATGTACTGTACATGTATGGTATGAGTAAGATATAATGTACATGCATGGTATTAGCGAGATACATTGTACATGTATGGTATGAGTAAGACATATTGTACATGTATGTTATGAGTAAGATATATTGTACATGTATGGTATGAGTAAGATATAATGCACATGTATGGTATGAGTAAGATATAATGTATATGTATGGTATAAGTGAGATGTACTGTACATGTATGGTATGAGTAAGATATAATGTACATGTATGGTATTAGCGAGATACATTGTACATGTATGGTATGAGTAAGACATATTGTACATGTATGTTATGAGTAAGACATATTGTACATGTATGTTATGAGTAAGATATAATGTACATGTATGTTATGAGTAAGATATAATGTACATGTATGTTATGAGTAAGATATAATGTACATGTATGGTATAAGTGAGATGTACTGTACATGTATGGTATGAGTAAGATATAATGTACATGTATAGTATTAGCGAGATACATTGTACATGTATGGTATGAGTAAGACATATTGTACATGTATGTTATGAGTAAGATATATTGTACATGTATGGTATGAGTAAGATATAATGCACATGTATGGTATGAGTAAGATATAATGTATATGTATGGTATAAGTGAGATGTACTGTACATGTATGGTATGAGGAAGATAATATGTACATGTATGGTATTAGCGAGATACATTGTACATGTATGGTATGAGTAAGATATATTGAACATGTATGTTATGAGTAAGATATAATGTACATGTATGGTATGAGTAAGATATAATGTACATGTATGGTATTAGCTAGATAAATTGTACATGTATGGTATGAGTAAGATATATTGAACATGTATGTTATGAGTAAGATATAATGTACATGTATGGTATAAGTGAGATATAATGTACATGTATGGTATGAGTAAGATATAATGTACATGTATGGTA